GAGCCCATCCTCCTATTGCTGCCCCCACCAGCCTCCTCTGGTATGCACCATAAGTTGCATTGCTGTTTTTTCCATCCCGTTAATAATGGAGAGTGTCAGCAGCACCATGGCAACATAAATCAAACATGGAGAAGAAGCTCTACAGAAGCACAATGCACCAGGATGCACATGGAGATGTGAATTATTCACACTCTGGACATCACAGCCATGATCCCACCAAGGATGGTAGACACCACGGTGGAGCCCAACTACATCTACCATGTTGGGACAATGGAGTTGTGTCATGATGTTACATTGGTCACAAACTATGGACAACAACATCATTTTACAAATAAACATCATTTTATTTGTCACATGTGCCAAATACAACAGGTGTAGACCTTACCGTGAAATGCTTACTTACAAGCCTTTAACCAACAATGCAGAATAAAATAAAAAAAGTAAGTAAGCAAATATTTGCAAAAGTAATTTAGACAACATAAAATAAATTAAGTAAGAAAAAAGTAACACAATAAAATAACAATAACGAGGCTATATAAAGGGGGTACCGGTACAGAGTCAATGTGCGGTGTTACAGGTTAGTCGAGGTAATTGAGGTAATATGTACATGTAGGTAGGGGTAAAGTGACTATGCATAGATAATAAACAGTGAATAGCAGCAGCGTAAAAAAGGGGGTCAATGCAAATAGTCCGGGTAGCCATTTGATTAACTGTTTAGCAGTCTAATGGCTTGGGGGTAGAAGCTGTTAAGGAGCCTTTGGACCTAGACTTGGCGCTCCGGCGTGCTGTGTTGTAGCAGACAGAACAGTCTATGACTAGGGTGGCTGTAGTCCTTGACAATTTTTTGGGCCTTCGTCTGACACCGTCTAGTATAGAGGTCCTGGATGGCAGGAAACTTGGCCCCAGTGTGTACTGGGCGTACGCACTACCCTCTGTAGCGCCTTGCGGTCGGATGCTGAGCAGTTGCTACACAAAGCGGTGATGCAACCAGTCAGGATGCTCTCGATGGTGCAGCTGTATAACTTTTTGAGGATCTGAGGACCCATGCCAAATCAGGAAGTCCAGGATCCAGTTGCAGAGTGAGGTGTTTAGTCCCAGGGTCCTTAGCTTAGTGATGAGATTTGAGGGAACTATGGTGTTGAACGCTGAGCTGTAGTCAACGAACAGCATTCTCACGTGGGTGGGAAAGGGCAGTGTGGAGTGCAATGGAGATCTGCAATGTTGACTAAAAGATCTGCAATGTTGCCTGCTGAGTAAATATGTCCCCAGGTCAGTGTTGGAGGGGGACTGCTGTGTACAACCACACATCTATGAACAACAGACAAGAGTGAACTAAGATTCAGACATGATTGGCCGTTATAACATATTGGGCAGCAGGTAGCTTAGTGGTTAAGAGCGTTGTGCCAGTAACCGAAAGGTCGCTGGTTCTAATCCCCGAGCCGACTAGGTGAAAAATGTGTCGATGTGCCCTTGAGCAAGGCACTTAACCCTAATTGCTCATGTAAATCGCTCTGGATAAGAGCGTCTGCTAAATGACTAAAATGTAAATGTAAAATATAGCAATAAGGCCTGAATTGACCTGGAAATGTGTGAAGGCTTCAAAGGGATTACTGTAGTAGAATTAGTGCTGAGGGACAACATGAAAGACAATGAATTATTCATCTCAATAGCAAAACACAACAAAGTATTTATCAATGGGCTCCTATGGGTGAACACACAGCTTGTAAGATGATACAAGGGAAAGTTCAATGTGAATTGTAAACTGAGGTTTAGGAGTGGGCATAATTTATTATACATGCTAGCTGCTTATTATCACTGCTCTGAAACATACACCCACCTGCACAATGAAGACTTATAGGATGCATAACATAACAGTAATATGACAACATTGTAAGGGCAACATGTTTGTACATGGTAGCTGAGTAGTGTCAAACAATGTCCTCTGTAGCCATCTAGTGGATTAGCAAGGCAACTGTAATTTTAGAAAGGAAAGATGCAAACCAAGAGGAATTCATTGAGAAATTGTATATTTGTGTTTTATTTTTTATCTTGGGAGAGAAGGTTATCCTGTGGCCACAGGTTGAGGAACAACTATCTGAGTGAGAGGTGGACGTGATTGCACCAGGTAGCCTTAGCCCTTGATCTCTGTGTAAAGTGTAGGGCAATTTCAAAATTGGTTCTCAGAAGCTGTCCTCCTCCTCTGCTGCAGTTCCACATCCCACAATTCATTGCTGTGGAAACACCTAACACATACTGGGTACAGGCACTCAATATCACTCACTACACACATTCAATTCATCAGTGTATCAAAGACCCCCAGCTCTATGGATCAGGAGTCTCCTTCAGAGAGGTGTTCTGGTACTGAAAGCAATTCACAGCACTACACTCAACAGCTTAGAAGGTGGTGTAATTTAGCCAGAGAGTACATCTATCAGAGATCTGAGCTTATTCTTTTATATTGCTCCCTGACTGTCTATCTTTCAATTTGCCCTCTTTTTTACATAAAAGTGATTAACTCCTAATTTCCGACACAAAAGCAACACAACTACTGAACTACATCAAGGAGCAGCCACTATCAGCAACATCCTCAAATAACAAATCCTCAACTCTATTCGGCCCTCTCCTTTTTCAACCTTTCTCTTTTCAAACTGTGATCAGTAAGGCTATATCCCTTATAAACAAATAGTAAGCCAACGGCGTGTGTTGCACCACAATACCAGGGATCAAGCTGCCTCCTTAGCCCCCCGTTGTGGTGGAAAGCACTGGCTCTGGTTACCTGCTGTCCTTCTCAAGCTTGTTTGCCATTAAATATTACAATGTGCGATAGAGTGGAGGTGAATGTGACCCCTTTTCTAGCTGTCATTCAAGGAGAGAAGGTTCCGCTGATGTGCCAAATAAACAGAGCACTCGGTGGCAGGTAGGGTTACAGCCCTGCTGGAATTGGTACACACTCGGCTCCAGTTGCCCATGACAGGGGATCACTTTACCTACGGCTGCCACATGAAATAGTCTGTTCCAAGTGCCCGTTCTCCGTGATGGAATAATTACTTATTCATCACAGTGGCGAAGAAGGGGATAGTTGTGAATGGGGGTCCTTGTCAGCTGCAGTGCAGGAAACAGCTGACACAAGAGTATCTGTTACACGTCCCCCCCACTCCACCCCACCCCAACCCTTCACCTTGGAGATGCCTGCCACAGTCTTAGCTTCACTCACACAGTCGCAGCAGCAGGCCAGGATTTACCTCTGGAATGCAGATAACAACCCCTGATCAGAGTGACCCCTTCCATCCCTAAAACTACTGCACCCACACTCTTCTCCTGCATCCACACTGAGCTGATCACCACAGATCAAAATACCAGACAAAGGGACAACATCATCATAGCACCAACTGTTGTTCATCTCATAAACTCATTAGGTTAAAAGGGCAAGATGGGGAGAACTGTGCACTGTGGTAATATCAGAGGTGATGAATGAATGAACGAATGAACGAATGTGTCAAATAGCCAGTTGGCAACCCATCCCTTATGGGATTAATTGACACATAAACAAACATTACAATAATTCACTGTGGTCATTCAGTGACAATTCATCTTCCAGTGTTCTCTGAAGTGCACATCGCATAAAAAGTGAAAAAATTAAAGGTAAAAATAAATACATAATAATAAATAAGGTTATCCAAACAATAATTATATCCCTAGAGCAGTAAAATAATATACATACATACATACATACATACACACTGTATATTTACACATACATACAGAACATATACAGATAAATAAATACAGAAAAATTAAACAGAAGGAATTTGAACCCAATCTGGCACAAAGACAAGATTCATGTGGGAGACAAGCCTATACACAATCTATATACACACGTATCATTTACCACATAGAAGCTAAATATCTTTATAATTTAATTATAGGTAGCCCTTTTTATTTTATTTCAGGCTTTATCTAAATATTCCGTAAACGGAAATACACAATGGGCAAAAAAACATTTCAGTTTCTCCTCATCGCTCAGCCACATAATGCCAGGGTATATCTGGTGTGCTTTCTGGAATAAGAGCAAGCGTATATTGTGGTAGAAAGGGCAGTAGAGGATCAAATGAGTTTCATTCTCTATTTCTTTGAGGTCACAATAGTTACATAGTCATTCCTCTTCTAATTCACCACAATACCAACCTGTTTCAATACGCAGAGGCAATATCCCTGATCTTACCTGTGTACATAGCGATCTCTTGCTTTTAGGTAGGTTATAAATAATATATCTCACACACGAATTCACCCTTAATCAAACAAAAGGTTCTCAATTTGGGTTTATGATTAATCTCCTCCACCCATTTCTTTTCATATTGAATCAACTGTTGTTTTTTAATAATATCTATGTCTCCCTTACTTTGGTTTTCATACAGATGTTCACAGTCAGACTGTTGAAAAAGGTCAGACATTTCAGTTGCCCAGGCTCCCCCTATGGATAGATCCCATTGAAAAACCTTACTAGCTATTCTGGCAGTTGGCATATCCAACAGTCTATTCCAAAGTCTCACCATACACGCTTTCCATCTCACCTCACAGGGTTCCCAGCCCATGTCCCCAGTTAATGCAAGTATAGGTGCAAACTTGTGGACACCGAAAAAGTAACGTACTGCTCTGTTATGGACATCTTCGTTTTTGAGATACCTCTTAGCACCCCACACTCCTGCTGATCAGCCCAGAACAGGACACACGCATGTCTGATACAGTTTGGATAGTGAGCTGTTCAGGACATACAGGATTACACGAACCACAGAAGTGTATCTGAGGGAGGCTAAGGTGGCTAAGATAAGGTATTTGCCAGTGTCCTTTACACACAGGGCTTGGTTGACAGGTTATCAGTCTGTCTTTTCACTCGGCGGAGGTAGCCTGATACCCAGCTGCTTCTGGGCTGTGGGGAGAGAAAGGAGAGACAGTGGCCTGGCCTGTGTGAGACTGAGACCTCTCTCTCCCTCTCTCCAGCACGGCTGTTCAGACACCTGAGAGCGGCTACGCTGTTTGGGCAATGTGAATTCTCACACGGCCGGCCACTCCAGGGGACCTCTGGCTCAACTGAGCTGGCACAGCCTCACAGAGGCCCTGCAGCTCTCCTCTGGTTCCCCTGGTCTCCTCTCCACCAGACCCAACTGAAGGGCTCTCCGGAGAGCCCCTTTCACAAAGCATCTGCCTGTATCCCGGGCGTCAAACACTCACCAGCAGGTGAACTCCATTCAATATTTATCACGAGTGCTCTCAGGATCACTGTGAAGCCGGGCACTTCAATATACTGAGCAAAAACATAAACGCAACATGTAAAGTGTTGGTCCCATGTTTCATGAGCTTAAATTTCCCATACGTACAAAAAGCTTTGTTCTCTAAAATGTGGTTCACAAATTTGTTTACATCCCTGTTTGTGAGCATTTCACCTTTGCCAAGATAATCCATCCACCTGACAGGTATGGCACATCAATAAACTGATTTAACAGCATGATCATTACACAGGTGCACCTTCAGCTAGGGACAATAAAAGGCCACTCTAAAATGTGTAGTTTTGTCACACAACACAATGCCACAGATATCATGTCAGCATGTAATTGGCATGCTGACTGTAGGAATGTCCACCAGAGCTGTTGCAAGATAATTGAATGTTAATTTCTCTACAATAAGCTGCCTCCAATGTCGTTTTAGAGAATTTGGCAGTACGTCCAACTAGCCTCACAACCTCAGACCACGTGTAACCACGCCAGCCCAGGACCTCCACATCCGGCTTCTTCACCTAAGGCATCGTCTGAGACCAGCCTTCCTGGCAGCTGATGAAACTGAGGAGTATTTCTAGAAATTGTTGCATGTTGTGCTTATATTTTGTTCAGCGCCTTCGGAAAGTATTCAAACCCCTTCCCTTTATCCACATTTTGTTACATTACAGCCTTATTCTAAAATTGATTAAATATTTTTCTTTCTCTCACCAATCTACACACAATACCCCATAATGACAAAGCCAAAATAGTTTTTTCGAAATTTTAGCAAATGTATTAAAAATAAAAAACATAAATACTTTATTTACATAAGTATTCAGACCCTTCGCTCTGAGACTCGAAATTGAGCTCAGGTGCATCCTGTTTCCATTGACCATCCTTGAGATGTTTCTACAACTTGATTGGAGTCCACCTGTGGTAAATTCAATTGATTGGACCTGATTTGGAAAGGCACACACCTGTCTATATAAGGTCCCACAGTTGACATACATGTCAGAGCAAAAACCAAGCCGTGAGGTCGAAGGAATTGTCCGTAGCGCTCCGAGACAGTATTGGGTCGAGGCACAGATCTGGGAAAGGGTACCAAAAACATTTTGGAGCATTGAAGGTCCCCAAGAACACAGTGGCCTCCATCATTCTTAAATGGAAGAAGTTTGGAACCACCTAGACTCTTCCTAGAGTTGGCCGCCCAGCCAAACTAAGCAATCGGGGGAGAAGGACCTTGGTCAGGGGGGTGACCAAGAACACAATGGTCACTCTGACAGAGCTCCAGAGTTCCTCTGTGGAAATAGGAGAACCTTCCAGAAGGACACCATCACTCCACCAATCAGGCCTTTCTGGTAGAGTGACCAGACGGAAGCCACCCCTCAGTAAGAGACACATGACAGCCCGCTTGGAGTTTGCCAAAAGGCACCTAAAGACTCTCAGACCATGAGAAACAAGATTCTCTGGTCTGATGTAACCAAGATTGAACTATTTGGCCTGAATGCATGTTTTCCAGCGGCAGGGACTGTGAGACTAGTCAGGATCAATGCAAAGATGAACGGAGCAAAGTACAGAGATCCTTGATGAAAACCTGCTCCAGAGCGCTCAGGACCTCAGACTTTGGCGAAGGTTCACCTTCCAACAGGACAACGTCCCTAAGCACACAGCCAAGACAACGCAGGAGTGGCTTTGGGACAAGTCTCTGAATGTCCTTGAGTGGCCCAGCCAGAGCCCGGACTTGAACCCGATCGAACATCTCTGGAGAGACCTGAAAATAGCTGTACAGCAACGCTCCCCATCCAACCTGACAGAGCTTGAGAGGATCTGCAGATGAGAATGGGACGGAGAGAGATGATAGGCCTCCACTGGTCTTTTGGGTATTTTTATTACAGCATTTTCCACAAGCTTTTATACTCTTTACTGTGAAAATAAATGTGAACTATGGATTTCAATCAAAATAAAACCTTGATAGCTGGGGAAAATAATTACTTTGGTAATTTGTTGACATCTTGTTGAGTGTTGTAGAAAATGGCTGTTTGATACCTTACTTCACTGCCAGAAAAAAAAACATATTGTCATTATCAATTGCAACAAAGCTTTTTTATTTTCAAAGCATTTTACTCACAAGGTAAAGCACACTCTCCCCAGGTAATTTTACATTTGGATTAGACTATTTCCAAGCCATTTCCCTGGTTCTGTGCATGTGGTTCTGTACATAACCAGAAGAAAGACTGGACATTGCTGCTGGGCAGTCCTGGCTAGATTCTGCTGCACTCTGTTGGACATTGGACAACAGAGCATGCAAACACAGGTAAAGCCAAATATGGAGACCCTTACAGTGTTAGTAAATATCCACTGGGTGGCAGGGTTTAATTGCCTCAAAGCAAGATGTTAGTTTGTTGCTTGCTTTGTCTTGAATGCAAGTCCCATTGCTATTTCTATGTTTTCCAATTAATTATGAGAGCAAAAGAGAGAGAGAGAAAGATGTGGTCCATAGCTTATTACAGAGTTATTACATCACATAGATCATCCCCGTAGCAAGGCATCTATCTGATACCAAGTGTGACGAATACATCTAGCAGTTAGCCTATACATCATCAGAGACCATTCTCATTTCTCTTTGACAGAGATTGAACTCACTGACTTCTGGCTAAAGTAAGCAGCTTAAAAAAAACGAAGGTCGATGTTCGCGACCCTGCGGAAATCCAATTAGCATTTATTTTTTTAAATCCCCATATAAATCTATCAGTTTAAGCTAGAGATATCCGTTTTTTTGCATTGGATGCATCTCAATCCACCGCATCTGCCTATCTAACACTTCCACATTTGTAGTGAAAGGTGACAGAGGTAGAGCGGTGTTAGTCCGACCCTGAGACATCCTGAAAATCGGTCTTCTCACAAAATCGTCTGTAGCGTCCGAACGGTTTGGCCTATAAACTATTACGATGGTGTTCTCCGTTTTGTTCTACGACCCCCACAAGCATATTGGGACTCGTCTGAAGTCGGTACAGCCGATCTGCCAACTTCTGTCTGTAACATCCGAACAGTTTGGGCTAAGGTGAGACTCTCACGAACATGTACACTACCGTTCAAAAGTTTGGGGTCACTTAGAAATGTCCTTGTTTTCCAACATACATGAAATGAGTTTGAATAGGAAATATAGCAAAATGAATAGGAAATGTAGTCACTGACAAGGTTAGAAATAATGATTTTTTATTGAAATAATAATTGTGTCCTTCAAACTTTGTTTTCGTCAAAGAATCCTCCATTTGCAGCAATTACAGCCTTGCAGACCTTTGCCATTCTAGTTGTAAATTTGTTGAGGTAATCTGAAGAGATTTCACCCCATGCTTCCTGAAGCACCTCCCACAAGTTGGATTGGCTTGATGGGCACTTCTTACATACCATACGGTCAAGCTGCTCCCACAACAACCCAATAGGGTTGAGATCCGGTGACTGTGCTGGCCAATCCATTATAGACAGAATACCAGCTGACTGCTTCTTCCCTAAATAGTTCTTGCATAGTTTGGAGCTGTGCTTTGCGTCATTGTCCTGTTACAGGAGGAAATTGGCTCCAATCAAGCGCCGTCCACGGGGTATGGCATGGCGTTGCAAAATGGAGTGATAGCCTTCCTTCTTCAAGATCCCTTTTACCCTTTACAAATCTCCCACTTTACCACCACCAAAGCACCCCCAGACCATCACATTGCCTCCACCATGCTTGACAGATGGCATCAAGCACTCCTCCAGCATAATTTTAATGGACAAAAAAATTGCTTTTCTTTCGAAAACAAGGACATTTCTAAGTGACCCCAAACTTTTGAACAGTAGTGTACATATCGATTGTTTTGCTCTAGGCCACCCACAGGCCTCACAAGACTTGTCTGAAGGTCCCCCGGTACCATTTGAAAAAAGAATGGAAGTATATATGGACACTGTTTAGTGCCAAAAATAAGGGGTTCAATAGAGATATAGGACACACACTTCAGCACAAACTTCCTTTTGATTTCTTTGGGAGACTATCTGTTGTTCCATGTAGTGAATCTGTTATTCAATGCGTTTCTATGGGCTAATAGCAGTAAGGCCAAAGGGGGTTGAGTGAGGAACAACAGAGTCGGAGAAAGTGTCAGTCCCCCGCCAAGCCAAAACCAGTCAGGTTATACTTGACGGACCTGTTTTAAACAAGGACTCATTTCAACCTCTTCCGTCTCCATTGTGAGTCTGCATTGGGATAAATAGCCTATAAATAACAATAAGGAGGCCTATTTATAATCAAAATTCTAACAATCCTGTTAGGCAGATTACAGATTGCTTTAACAGTTTCACTCAGTAACATGATGGGGAACAGGAAAAGGTTACTGATCAAGCAGACAGACAAGGTATTGCAGAGTGTCTGTATGTCACCCAATTGGCGTTAGATCTGATCTTACCACATCTCTGGCAGCTCTGGGTAAGTCATTAGGGTCAAGGTTACATGTTTACTGGGGACACAGGGGCCTTTGGCCAGCCAAACTGTGGTGCATCAGCCAGGTGATGGTCCAATGTACAGTTCAGGTTCTGTATAATGAGTAGGACAGTCAGGATTGGGTGTGGGTGGGGATCCAGTTGCAAAAAATGAGTATCCTGTACAGTGTCCTAACTCCCTCATTGTATTTCAATGAGAATCTATAGCTGCTCATTAGGTGCAGCAACAACTGTTTTTAATCATTGGGGGACAACTATTGAGATAATGAGAGTCTATTTAACAAAAAGAATCCACCCTACATTAGAGCTTGATTTGTTCTTTAAAAAGAAAAAGAAACACATAACGCCTGTTGTTCTGAAGTAAAAGTAAAAGTTGTCAAAAATATAAATAGTAAAGTAAAGTACGGATACCACAAAAAACGACTTAAGTAGTACTTTAAAGTATTTTTACTTAAGTACTTTCCACCACTGCTAAATGGTGTGTATGTTGTTGTGCAATGTCTTGCGCTTGGTATGGTTCCTGGTACATTACACATCATACCCTGTGTTTTTTCTTTTCTTTTTGTTAAATCAGAATAGTCTGGAAACTACTGTATGATCAGAAATGACTGCCAGCCTGCCAGGGAGGATAGGCGGTCCAGATCAGGCCATACTGGACCAAACACGTGGGACAGTAGAAAGGTTTTCTTATTGGGCACACCTCCTCCCAGTCAGTTCCAGTTTTGGCTCTTTCTGCCCACCTCGGATATTTTTGCGCAATCCGATTGGCCCTCTGCTGCAACACAGCCAAGGTCAGAGGTGAATGGCCAAAAGTAACCCATCTTCGCATCATACCATTCGCTACTGTCAAATGCGCCTCTCGTAGTCCAAATAGCTCATCATAATGTGTTTTTTGTCATCACCGGTTGGAAAGACATGTCTGAAACCAGAGTGAATTAAATAAATCATCACCGATCTTTTGGGATCAACGATTCAGGATTGCTTGTCGGTTTATTTCACACGGTGAGTACTGAGTACTAACCGTTAGCTTGCTAGCATAGCTAGGTGATAAGCTCATTAGCTAGCTAACTACACTGTTACAGTAACGTTAGCTAGCTAGACAGACCGGTATCTTGCTAGCTAGCTAGCTGTCTGTACACCTCGCATGCCGTTGTACTAGCTAGCAAGATACCGGTCTGTCTTTCTAGCTAACTAACTGGATAGCCAGTAACTAACTATTTGTGAGACACTGCTCATTGACATCAACCAGGGTTGTATTCAGACTAACGAGTGCTTTTGGATTTATCGGATTATGGTTGGCCATAACGCGACACAACATTGCTAGCATGATTTGATGTAACTTGCTTGTTCGACATAGGATTCCCATCCGATACACAATTTTTGGGCCAGGGTGCGGGGCGATATTTGTTTCCCATCATTATCATTAGAGCCCTGTCGTAAAACATAATTTATTATCATTTTGGGTATGTCTATGTTCAGTGCTGTTCGCTTACGTTTGTCTGCATGGTTGGGCTTGTTTTTCAGGTCCAGCAAGCAGCTAAAACTAATACTGGCAAGGTGTGTCTGTCTTGTTCTGGTTTCTCTGCTCGTGCACAGTTGCAGTTTCAACAAATTATACCCTCTCAAAGACTAATATCAATGCAGACCATGCCTTTCAAACCAGTGGTTTTGGATTGGAGTTTGTTGTATATGTGTGTATATAAATATATTGTAAATATATTACAGTTACAGTAAGCATTTTATATAAGGAGGATGGGGAGGTAATGCCCTCTACCATTCTTTTGCAATGTCTTGCAATATGAATGCAGGATCAGCATCATTTTTGTGCAACTCCACTCACTGACGCAATCTGACAAACAGCAGCCAATGCCAGGACAGCCTGGTGTCATCACGCTGTGGCCCTGACTAACTTGAGGACTCAGCCCTATCTCCAGCTTTATAAATACCTGTGGTTTTGACTTCCCTCATCCACTCCTCTCCCTCCAGTGTTCGCAGCCTGCCAACGTGGTGACGGTCCAGCCATGGCACAGCAGGATGCGCCTGCCAATAAGGCTGCTGCCCCGAACCTTGCTGCGCTGCACTCCAACTTCATCATCGGCTCTGTGTCGGAGGAGAACTCTGAGGATGAGATCCTGGGAAAGCCAGACCTGACGCTGGGACTGGAGGAGAAGGAGCGCTCCATATCCCCCACCTCTAGCCTCAGCTCAGAGAACAGCACCTATGAGATGGGCTTCGACCACATCGACGGGCCCCACATGAGGTCAGAACCCAGGCTTTTCTCTCTGTTTTATGTTCCCTGAGCCTCTCTGTTTGTGTTGTGTATCCAGGCTTTGCTTTATCTTGGCCAGGTCGCAGTTGTAAATGAGAACTTGTTCTCAACTGGCTTACCTGGTTAAATAAAGGTGAAATAAAATAAAAAATAACAACCACACAGAGGTGTTTAATCATAGCGTCTATACTGAGGTTACCAGTATCTCAATGCATTATACAAAATGGTACTGCATAGTTTTGATTGCCGCAACAACCTGGCCTCAGTCGTATGGGATGGAGAAACCTCCAATACAGATATGTCTCCATCAGACGAGTCTGGAGGGAATATTCTGAAATGGCAGCAGCAGGAGAACACTGGGTTCAGTTCAGTGCTCTCTCCCTGGCTGGCCCCCCTCGCTTCTCTGCTGTGGGTGGGTGGTGTGTGTGAAAAACATGGCCAGGCCAGCTTCACACCCTGCCTGCTTGCTATAGAGGAGCTGTGTGTTCTAGGAGGACTGCCCTCCCTACTGCTGTCCCATTGCCAACAACCTCAGCTCTGAGCCCTCCCTGGAGCCTGGCCTCACCAGCTCTCCTTTGTATTCAGTGGCTCTTTTTACAGCCACAGGGACTAGGCTCTAGAGAATGGACATTGTGAATGCAGATGTGAATAACTGGCAGATATGGTGCTGGCCAGAAGAATATGGCAACATTCGTACACATACAGTAGGCTTTTCATTTAGAATGGTGTTCAGATTTGTTTCTCAGTCTTTCTTGTTGCAAATTCTGTTTTTTTGTGTGTAGTCGATTCCAGTGAGTTTTGGTTCAACTATATGCCTGCCACAGGTCTGGGCTGTTGTTGTAATTGAATAGTTGTAATAGACTCATGTGAGAGTCAGGCCTACAGTCACTCTAGCAGTAGGGTTTTAGTGTTGTGGTGGGACAGAACACTGACAAAGAAGTAAATATCTGTCTCCAATTCCACCCACAATACTGTTCTCCTGTCAGCTAACTCTTTCCACACACCTGGGGCTACTTTCCAAAGCCATGATTGGAAAATAGCAGTGTACAGTACACACTCTTATATTAGGCTGTGGGGCAATCATTTTGTGGCATGATAGAAAGAAAACGATTGAAATGTGCATCAGATATCAAGTTAAATTTTAAGAACATCATGCTAAAGGATTTACCTACAGTCTGTATGGGATTAACTGAGTTTGCAGGCTGTTATGATGTGCCATTCTGACAGAGGGGAATGTTTTTGTTGTTTATCCTTTTTTAGCACCTCACATTTCAGTGATTAGTTTCACAGCTCTCTACAGCTGACCTGTCCTGTGTGGTTGGGCTTGAGTATGTGATTGGGAGTGTGAGGATTGATGATGAAACTGGAATTACTGGCAGAGGCAGAGCCCACAGCTCTCTCCCGTAGGACAAGGGGGAGCTCAGCTGAGCTCAGATGACGGGAAGTGCCGTTCCTTCTCTGGGGCTTCATTCAGAGGCCTCTGTCTGTGTCGCTGTAGCATGCCATCATCATGCAACAGTGCAGTGTCAGGCCACAGCAGCCAACCAAACACAGACTGGGGGCTCTGCCTCTGACACGCCCTCCTGGGTGACTGGATCCCTCCTCCCCATCCTCCCACTGGCTCTCTCTGAGGGTGGAACCTAGTTTAGGGGCCCTGTTTTTCCCTCAGAGGAAACGCTTGCAGCTTGTCCTAGCCTGTTAACAACATTTCAGGAATGAGCTCCTCCTGTGACTGGTTGGTGATGGTGTGTTGTACCTTTTTAGTTGTGAAAGGTCTAATTGTGTACAGTTCACAGTTCAGAAAAACGAGATAACATTTTGTCTTCTCCTCAGTGGCAGATATGCCTACTCTCACTTGGAGACAAGGACATTGATTTCAAGTATTTTTTACTGTAGGTAGAGTAGACTGTTTACATTGATCAATTATGGTCCTCTCCCTTTATGTAACCATTAGAGCACCAGTTTTAGCAGTGTCATGATATTAGTAAGCAGTTATGCTTGAGGAGGAAAACATTTCTGCCCTACCCTGGCCAGTGGCCACCACACCAAACACTAATCTAATCACAGTAGCTCTCTTATCATCCCGGCTTTGTATTTTTTTGTGTTAGGTTACACCTACCCAACATTTTCCGGGAATAGGCTTGGCTTATGTTACTGAATGTATCCAGAGTATTTTCTGATTTCCTTATCAACAAATGCAGCAAAAAGTACAGTAAATGTCAAATGCACATAAAATCAACAGTGTAATATTTGGATTCAGTCTTGTCAGGAGAACTGTTGTGTACTCAACTTTGATCTAATCATTTTGCCATTATCTCCAAACTGTTCCCTTTCAATTGCTACCATGGTTATGCTTTTCATATTTCTTCTGTTAGAAACATTTAAATGTAGCCCAGTCAGCCTACAAGGTCGACAAAGATCTCGTTTGGTGTTTTTCCTGGCTGGGGAAGGCTTACGCTTAAATTTAAGTGTAAAAAGACACTGCAACAGCGCTCCACACACGTGCTGATTGCATGGCTGGTGTAACGTCTCTCATGGATCACAGTTACTGTTTCACCAGCGCTTGTCTTGAGCAACGTGTGCGGTATGCTTAGGCTACGTGTCTAGTGTAGTTTGGCCGTTAGCCTTATGCTTGTTGTGTATGTTGGCTGTAGCATGAACTTTAATTTCTTCTTATTATAGAAGTTATTATGGATGAATGAAAACAATGATATGTTGAAGACAAATGCTGGGTGATTGTGAAGCCCCACCAACCTTACACTACGGTGTTCTCTTCATGCTGAAGTAATTTCAGTTCTTCACACAGACCGAGCATGTCTGGGCTGCACCTGGTCAAGCAGGGCCGAGACCGGCGTCGCATGGACCTGCAGAGAGATTTCACCGTGGCCTCCCCCGCCGAGTTTGTTACCCGCTTTGGTGGGAATAAGGTCATCGAGAAGGTAAGGCCTTCTTTAGCTTCTGGGGCCTGGTTTTACCACATTTTTGACATACAGTATTTCAGAGGCTGGTCCCCCACTCACATCTCTTCCCATCTCAGGTCCTCATTGCCAACAACGGCATCGCAGCAGTCAAATGCATGCGCTCCATCCGCCGCTGGGCTTACGAGATGTTCCGCAACGAGCGCGCCATCCGCTTTGTCGTCATGGTAACCCCTGAGGACCTGAAGGCCAACGCAGGTGAGCTTTACATTACGGTATCATCACAACTAGTAACAACAGAGTAACTGTGTGTCTATTCTCTACCCAGCCTCTCTAACTCTGCTTAATGACCCAGAGAGTCAGGACAAAGCTCCAGCCAGCCAATGTGTTTAAACAAGCAGACCCACTAGGCTTCCAGGAATGGACCAGATCAGGCTCTCTGTTGGTTTAGACCTGCACTGCACTGAACAGGCAACCCTGACCTAGTTCAGCAGAAAGGGCTTTGTAAAAAAGAGTGGCTTTCTCAAAATGCTATCATGTGTAAATGGTTTGGCACTGGGGGTGATGTTTAGATGTGATGATAGCAAGCTAATATTGAGAGACGAAAGATGAGATTAAATGTTGGACTGTTATACATGCTATTTTATGGGCAGAGCAGACCTAAATGGTTTTCACCCCACTATCTTCTACAGAGTATATAAAGATGGCCGACCACTATGTGCCTGTGCCAGGAGGGACCAATAACAACAACTACGCCAACGTGGAGCTCATTCTGGACATTGCCAAGCGTATACCTGTGCAGGTACTGCTAGACATCCATTTATTTAGGCCTAGAGTAGACTTTCATATAAATAGTGATTGAACTCTCTTGTAACCTGTATTTGAACTGTTTTTAATGCTTTCTCCAGGCTGTATGGGCTGGGTGGGGCCACGCCTCAGAGAATCCCAAACTGCCAGAGCTGCTCATGAAGAATGGCATTGCCTTCATGGGTAAGACTGTGTTTCCTACTATCTCTACTCTGAGTCTCCCAGCCACACACAGAGCCATGGATGCTGCTTTTTGCCCCTCTGTCCTGTGTCTGAGTTGGCCTGTAAGATGTTGTGTTCTGTGCCTACTTCCAGGTCCTCCTAGCCAGGCCATGTGGGCACTAGGGGACAAGATCGCCTCATCCATCGTGGCTCAGACAGCTGGCATCCCAACCCTGCCCTGGAGTGGATCAGGTATGTCTGTGTACCTGTGAATACTCTTGATGGCTTTGAAGTAAGTGTGTTGTCAGAGACTGATCCCATGGTGTGTGTGTGTCTCAGGGCTAACAGTAGAGTGGACAGAGAGTGACCAGAAGAAGAGGATCATCAACGTTCCCCCGGATCTGTATGAGCTGGGTTGCATCTATGATGTGGAGGCAGGACTGAAGGCTGCAGAGGTGGTGGGCTACCCTGTGATGGTGAAGGCCTCAGAGGGAGGTGGAGGAAAGGGCATCCGCAAAGTCAACTGTGCTGATGACTTCCCCAACCTCTTCAGACAGGTGAGGTCCAGTCTAATTCCAGTATCAATATATGGTTATGATGGGCTGAAAGACATGATCAGTATGATTTTGATTCTGACTAACCCCTCATGCTACCCTCTCCTTGGCTACCCAGGTCCAGACAGAAGTTCCGGGCTCACCCATCTTCGTGATGCAGCTGGCCAAACACGCTCGTCACCTGGAGGTTCAGCTCCTGGCCGACCAGTACGGCAATGCCATCTCCCTGTTCGGCAGGGACTGCTCCGTACAGCGGCGACACCAGAAGATCATTGAGGAAGCGCCTGCCACCATCTCCACCTCAGACGTGTTTGAGGACATGGAGAGGGTATGTGTTGAAATTTGAGAGGGACTATGACCAGATGGACTTGTTAATCTATGGTTAGGTTGCCAGGTTGTGACTATGTGTCTGTTCCTCACTCCTCAGTGTGCAGTGAAGCTTGCTAAGATGGTGGGCTATGTCAGTGCTGGCACAGTGGAGTATCTCTACAGCCAAGATGGCAGCTTCTACTTCCTAGAACTCAACCCTCGTCTGCAGGTAGAACACCCCTGCACTGAGATGGTGGCCGACGTCAACCTGCCTGCTGCACAGCTGCAGGTCAGTTTCAGCAGCAGTGTGTGTGTGTCCAGATCTCATTCAGTCTGTGTCGTACATCTCTGTTGAGTATGCACACCTCTCTGCTCTCGAAGGTGAGTTTCATTCCGGGCCTCTGTCTCCATGGTAACTGGTTAGGTTGGAGTGAGCTAATGTTCAGAAACATGAACAATCCCTCCACCATTGGGGGAGGGATATACTCTGTCTGTCCACCTCTCTGCAGCATAGACACTATCTAATCTCACTGAACAGGAAGGGACAGACAGACAACAATGGGATACAACAAGCTGTGACTCCTCTGTGACATACACAAAGGTCCAGGGCCCGGTTTCCCAAACTGTGCAGTCAAAAACGTGATTGTCCTGTGTTTTATATATATTTCCACACTGTGGTTGGAATAATACTGTAAAATTGTCATAATGCCCTTTTAGTGTACGGGCTGTTTTGAAAAGACCGCCTGAAATTTCAGCCTGTTTTAGTGAGATGGAGTTGTGGTCTGCCTGGTGATATCACCAGGCGGTTGGTTAGTTAATAGACCAATAAGAAAGAGTTCCAAACCTCTCTGCCAATAACAGCTAGTTTTCAGTTTTCCCCTCCCCACTCAGACATCTCCCAGAAGTCCTAGCTAAAATCTTTCGTGAGAAATTGCACTTTGCTAAGAAGCTGGTTTTGTTTGTTTATTTTTGAAAATGTTTATTACAATCACAGTAAGGTACTTAATTGTTACCCAGAAATGATTTGATAATGAGACAAAAACGTCTGCATTGGACCTTTCAGGCTAAATTCATCGTTAGAACCTTCGTAGGAGCATCGCTAAATCTCAGCGCTCTTTCCCAAAATCATCGTCACTAAAGTTGCACTTCATAACGCTTGTTGTTTGCCGACTGTATCAGACCACTCGTAGAACAGCTAAGTGCGTCATTAGATGTTTTTTTTGCCCTTCCACGTCACTTTATATAAAGATCTCTGCTAAACATAGTTGTTTATCTGTCTATCTGTAACCGCTGATAACTTCAGAACAAAGTTGACAACAAATGCAAAATTCCACCGCGATAAACGCCACTGTCTTTACAATTGTTACAAACAAGCGAAGGATAAAAATGCTTCAAATGAAAACCGAGATGACTGCATTAAAAGATAAATACAGTATAGGCTACATGGGCCTATATACACTGAGTGTACAAAACATTAGGAACATCTGCTCTTTCCATGACTGACCAGGTGAAGTCTATGATCCCTTATTGATGTCACCTGTTAAATCCACTTCAATCAGTGTAGATGAAGGGGAGGAGACAGGTTAAAGACAGATTTTTAAACCTTGAGACATGGGTTGTGTATGTGTGCCATTCAGAGGGTGAACGGGCAAGACAAAATATTTAAGTGCCTTAGAAAGGGGTTTGGTAGTACATTTACATTTTACATTTACTTCATTTAGCAGACGCTCTTATCCAGAGTGAGTGCATACATTATTATTTTTTTTTTTTTTTTTTTTTCATACTGGCCCCCCGTGGGAATTGAACCCGCAACTCAATATTAGGAAGGTGTTCTTAATGTTTTGTACACTCAATGTATTTAAATCATATTGAAATAAATATAATGTCTAATCAATTGAGTTATATTTCGCTACATTATGTTATTTTTGCCTCTATATTTCATGATGTGTAACAACGTCTGTGCAATGAATTGTGGAATAATTCTAATGTAAATGAATGGCGAAAGCTGATAAGCAGTGCTGCTTTTCGTTCGATCCTATCAGTATCAACACATGGTTTAGCACTTAGCAAACTTTCTCTCTGCGTGGTATATATATATATATATTTTTTATATATTTTTTTATTTGTTGGTACTTTTTACCCCTTTTTCTCTCCAATTTCGTGATATCCAATTGGTAGTTAGTCTTGTCCCATCGCTGCAACTCCCCTATAGACTCAGGAGAGGTGAAGGTTGAGAGCCATGCATCCTTGGAAACACGACCCTGCCAAGCCGCACTGCTTCTTGACACACTGCTCGCTGAACCCGGAAGCCAGCCGCACCAATGTGTCGGAGGAAACACCGTCCCGCTGGTGACCGAAGTCACCTTGCAGGCGCCCGGCCCGCCACAAGGAGTCGCTAGAGTGCGATGGGACAAGGAAATCACAGCCACCCAAACCCTCCCCTGACCCGGACGACGCTGGGCTAACTGTGCGCAGCCTCATGGGTCTTCCGGTCACGGCCAGCTGTGACACAGCTTCGATGCAGTGCCTTAGACCGCTGCACCACTCTGGAGGCCCAGGAGAAAGTTCTAAGTGAAAAATATCTTGTTTAATTCAAGACCCAATGTTCCTCTATAGTCAGCCAATTAAAACCCTAGCTACCGGTTGTTTGTGTTTTGGGGGGTGTATATAGCTAAAATATATTTATGTATCTTTTTAAAAATATATTTTCCTTTATTATTTTCCCCTAACCTTACCATCCCTCCCCTAATTGGAGTAAACTAATGGACCAACAGCACTTAGTCTTCCTTTTCCAGTTTATACATACTATATACATTTTACTGACACAATGTATTTTACAATAGTTATCTTTGTTTGTTTTTAATCCCATCCTTAAAAACAAACAAAATATATTATTATTCAGTATTGCCAGGAAATGAAAGGAAAAATCCCCTTTTGATTAAACTGTTAATAATTATCATGATGTTAGTGAAGATTCAAGCTTTGAATGGTAAATGGAGCCGATTTAGCACATACTTGACTTCAATTATAATTTTCACTTCTTTAACTTTGGACCAGAAGTGTATTAGTGAATTGTATGATTCCTTTAAAGACTTATTAGTTTAACATGAACTACAGACAGTAACTGTTTCTTCTTCCTCAGATTTCCATGGGGATCCCCCTGCACCGTATCAAGGACATCAGATTGATGTATGGGGTCCAGCCCTGGGGAGACTCTATGATTGACTTTGAGGGTCTGTCCACGGCCCCCTCCCCACGGGGACACGTCATCGCTGCCCGCATCACCAGTGAGAACCCTGATGAGGGTTTCAAGCCGAGCTCAGGCACGGTGCAGGAGCTGAACTTCCGCAGTAACAAGAACGTGTGGGGATACTTCAGTGTGGCAGCGGCCGGGGGCCTGCATGAGTTTGCCGACTCCCAGTTTGGCCACTGCTTCTCCTGGGGAGAGAACCGAGAGGAGGCCATCTCGTGAGCACACACACTAGAAAAAAATCATGTAAAGTTAATTGTGTTTGTTGTCAGTAACACCCAATGATGTATGGTAACACCTCTCCTGTGTGTGTGTTCAGTAATATGGTGGTGGCCCTGAAGGAGCTGTCGATCAGAGGAGACTTCAGGACCACAGTGGAGTACCTCATCAAGCTGCTGGAGACGGAGAGCTTCCAGCACAACACCATCGACACAGGCTGGCTGGACAGACTCATCTCAGAGAAGATGCAGGCGGAGCGTCCTGACACCATGCTGGGCATAGTGAGCGGGGCTCTCCACGTGGCTGACGTCAACCTGAGGAACAGTGTCTCCAACTTCCTGCACTCTCTAGAAAGGTCAACACTATTTTAAGCATTAAAGAACACACACACACACACACACACACACACACACACACACACAGAGAAACACCATCTCCCCCTCCTCTCTCCCCCTCTACAGAGGCCAGGTGCTGCCCGCGCACACTCTTCTCAACACAGTGGATGTGGAGTTGATCTATGAGGGTACTAAGTATTGTCTGAAGGTGACACGTCAGTCCCCCAACTCCTATGTGGTCATCATGAACAACACCTCAGCAGAGGTGGACGTCCATCGCCTCAGCGACGGGGGCCTGTTGCTCTCCTACGACGGCAGCAGCTACACCACCTACATGAAGGAGGAGGTGGACAGGTAGGATGGATGGATAGAAAGAATACATTCTTTATTAAAAGGAATATTGAGGGGTTTGCTTGGAGTTGATTTGGAATTGGGCAATCGACTGAAAGAGATTCTTCCCCCCCCAGGTACCGTATCACCATTGGGAACAAGACGTGTGTGTTTGAAAAGGAGAATGACCCGTCGCTGCTTCGCTCACTCTCAGCAGGGAAACTCATCCAGTACACCGTGGAGGACGGGGGGCACGTGTTCTCTGGCCAGTGTTACGCTGAGATAGAGGTGTGTGTGAGATATAGTTGTATAGTTAAGATGAGGTTTACATTAATAGAGTGAACATGCATGTAAATCGTGTGTGTAACTCTGTGTCAGGTGATGAAGATGGTGATGACGCTGACTGCGGTGGAGTCGGGCTGTATCCACTATGTGAAGAGGGCTGGTGCCGTGCTGGAGCCTGGCTGTGTCATCGCCAAGCTGCAGCTAGATGACCCTAGCAGAGTCCAACAGGTCAGTAAAGGAGGGTGTGTCTGACACTGGGGAATTTAGCAATATTAGACTAAATATGCTCCTTGTATTTTGTACTGGAAACATGGATAGCTATACAGTACGTTTGATGTGAGACTAAAAGTATGTTGTAATGTGTGTGTCTCAGGCGGAGCTGTACTACGGGGCCCTGCCCATCATCCAGGCGGTGGCGTTGAGAGGAGAGAAGCTCCACAGGGTCTTCCACAGCACACTGGACCACCTGGTGCACATCATGAATGGCTTCTGCCTGCCTGAACTCTTTTTCGGTGGAAAGGTAAGAGTGGTCCACTACTACACACAAAAATGTCAAAACAAAAGATGGCAGTATTCTGGGTCTAAGGCACTGCATCGCGGTGCTAGCTGTGCCACTAGAGATCCTGGTTCGAATCCAGGCTCTGTCGTAGCCGGCCGCGACCGGGAGACCCATGGGGCGGCGCACAATTGGCCCAGTGTCATCCAGGGTAGGGGAGGGAATGGCCGGCAGGGATGTAGCTCAGTTGGTAGAGTATGGCGTTTGCAACGCCAGGGTTGTGGGTTCGATTCCCACGCGGGGCCAGTATGAAAAATAAAAATAATGTATGCACTCACTAACTGTAAGTCGCTCTGGATAAGAGCGTCTGCTAAATTACTAAAATGTAATGTAAAAATGTAATGTGTTGTGCTTCCCCAGCTAAAGGAGTGGGTGGAGAGGCTGATGAAGACTCTTCGGGACCCCTCCCTGCCTCTGTTGGAGCTGCAGGACATCATGACCAGTGTGTCAGGCCGGATCCCCCTCGCTGTAGAGAAGTGCATCAAGAAGGAGATGGCGCAGTATGCCAGCAACATTACCTCTGTGCTCTGCCAGTTCCCCAGCCAGCAGGTACACACACTCACACACGCTGTATTATTCAGGTTATTGTATTATTTATGGTTATATGGAGTTGTTGATTTGCAGAGTTCATTAGGAATACACATGACTGATTTTTCCTGTTCTTTCTTCCAGATTGCCAACATCCTGGACAGTCATGCTGCCACTCTGAACAGGAAGTCAGAAAGAGAGGTGTTCTTCATGAACACTCAGAGCATCGTACAGCTGGTGCAAAGGTGTGTCCTGCTCTCAGCTTCAGGGCTTTGAATGACCTGATGATACCTAGCTACCCATATGCACACAAACATGCTCTCTGTCACTGACCATGCCATTTTGTCTCTGTTCCCAGGTACCGCAGTGGCATCCGCGGTCACATGAAGGCCGTGGTGATGGACCTGCTTAGACAGTACCTCAAAGTAGAGGTCCAGTTCCAGAATGGTGAGGAACATTAGACTCTACTGCTAACATTTAACAGGCTATGTTAAGCAATGGGTTTTCCTGGGTTGGTATAGCAAGCAAGCAAGTTTATTTATTTAGCACAATTCATACATCGAAGCAATTCAATGTGCTTTACAAAGATGTTTATCAAAAATAATGAAAACATAATAATAATAAAAATACAAAAAATAAAATAACATAAAGATTTAAAATTTAAAAAATAGGAAGCTATGAGGCTAAACAGTGTGGTTAAGTTTCGACACAGTCGTAGGCACGTGAAAAGAGAAGTGTTTTTAACCTGGATTTTAAAATGGATACGTTTGGGGCACATCTAAGATCTTCTGGTAGTTTATTCCAGTTGTGTGCAGCTTCTCCATGTTTAGTCTGGGCTCTACTAGCTAACCTGTGTTCATGGATCTAAGAGCCCTGCTCGGTTTATATTCTTCAAACATATCAGACATGGTCCTAAACCATTCAAAGATTTATAAACTAAAAGCACCACTTTGAAATCAATTCTGTAACTGACTGGAAGCCAATGTAAAGATTTAAGAACCGGAGTGATGTGCTCCGTTCTCTTGGTCCTGGTTAACATTCTAGCAGCTGCATTCTGAATGTGCTGCAGCTGTTTTACAGTCTTTTTCGGGAGTCCTGTTAAGAGGCCATTACAGTAGTCAACCCTACTAGAGATAAAAGCATGGATGAGCTTCTCTTGATCTTTTTGGGACACCAAGCCTTTGATTCTGGCTATATTTTTTAGATGATAGAATGCTGTTTTGGTGACCGCTTTGATATGGCTGTTAAATGTGAGGTCTGAGTCTATCAGAACACCAAGATTACGCACTTGATCACTGGTTTTAAGGACCCGAGAATCCAGCTCTTTACTAATACTTGTTCTTTTATTTTTGTTGCCAAACACAATAATCTCATTTTAATCTTGGTTTAATTGTAGACAATTTTGGTTCATCCAGGTATTTATGTGCTCTATACAGTGACACAGAGAGTCTATTGAGCTGTTGTCATACGGTTCGAGAGCCATATATATTTGAGTATCATCAGCATAGCTGTGGTAGTTAATGTTGTTGTTCTGTAAAATTCAAAAGGGGAAATGGCCTTTGCTTTTTAGCCCTGCAGGTATTTTATTTAAGAATAGTATTCAAAGGTCTTCTCTCAGGACTGCAGTTGCTCTATTTGTCCACATGAGGGTATTGTTACACAACAAACATTTCATTTGCACCTTCCTTTGAGCGCCGGTTGATTTGATTTCTCCCCTGAATCCTGTATACTGTGTGTGTGTGTGTGTGTGTGTGTGTGTGTGTGTGTGTGTGTGTGTGTGTGTGTGTGTGTGTGTGTGTGTGTGTGTGTGTGTGTGATTCCAGGACACTACGACAAGTGTGTGTTCACACTGCGTGAGGAGAACAAGGGAGACATGGCCAACGTGTTAAACTACATCTTCTCGCACGCCCAGGTCACTAAGAAGAACCTCCTGGTCACCATGCTCATTGTAAGTCCTTCCCTCTTTATAAATACATTTGTTATGTGTGTTTGACAGAGTAGACTGTGTGTGTTTTCTTGCCTGTGTTTAAGACCAGAGTTGACTGTGTTCTCCCTGTGTGTAGGACCAGCTGTGTGGTCGTGACCCCACCCTGACTGACGAGCTGATGGCCATTCTGACGGAGTTCACCCAGCTCAGCAAGACCACCAACGCCAAGGTGGCACTGCGCGCCCGCCAGGTCCGCACGCATCACTTCCTGTCTCTCTAAATGGTCTCTCCCTGTTTTTGTGATTGGTCAGGGTTAGAGTTGTCATCTTCTCACTCCCCTCTGTCTCCTCCTCAGGTGCTGATTGCATCTCACCTCCCCTCCTACGAGCTCCGCCACAACCAGGTGGAGTCCATCTTCCTCTCTGCCATCGACATGTATGGACACCAGTTCTGCATCGAGAACCTGCAGGTAGGGACCATGGCCGTTGTTGACTTTTTACTGCCATTGCTGAAGGCCATTCAGACACTCAAAGTGTTTCAAATCAAATTCTATTAGTCACATACACATATTTAGCAGATGTTATTGCGGGTGTAGCGAAATGCTTGTGTTCTTAGCTCCAACAGTGCAGTAGTATCTAACAATTCACAACAATACACACAAATCTAAAAGTAAAAGAATGGAATTAAGAAATATATAAATATTAGGGCAAGCAATGTCGGAGTGGCATTGACTAAAATACAGTAGAATAGAATACAGTATATACATAGGAGATGAGTAAAGCAGTATGTAAACATTATTAAATTGGCCAGTGTTTCCATGTCTATGTATATAGGGCAGCAGCCTCTAAGGTGCAGGGTTGAGTAACCTGGGTGGTAGCCGGCTAGTGATGGCTATTTGACAGTGGAATGAGGTCTACGGCATTTTAATGATTCTGAATTCTCTCTCCTTTGTAGAAACTGATCCTGTCCGAGACGTCCATCTTTGATGTGCTGCCTAACTTCTTCTACCACAGTAACCAGGTGGTCAGGATGGCTGCTCTGGAGGTGAGAGGAAGGAGACAGTGTTTTTTTGCATTCAAAGTCACAATAGCTGGTTGCCCAGGGAATTGAACAGTATTTGCCACTGAACTAAGAGTGACATTTCATGGGATTAAAGGTAACGATACTCTGCTGTATCCAGATCTCTACCCTGTTTTAACTCCCTTGTGTTCCCCATCCCAGGTGTACGTACGTAGAGCCTACATCGCCTACGAGCTCAACAGCGTCCAACACAGACAGCTGAAGGACAACACCTGCATCGTAGAGTTCCAGTTCATGCTGCCTACCTCCCACCCCAACAGGTACACACACACACACACACACACTCTGCAGCCCAGTCCCCTGCCCTGCATGGTACCGTGGAGGAGATGTGGTGTTGCTCCTATATATACTGATCTAGGGCCAGTTGTTATTCTAAGCTGAGGATGGTTAATAGTAGGACTAGAGTAGGGAGACTTGATCTACAGTCAGATGTCTTATTAGGGGAAGGGGATGGTTCTATAAGAGAGATGAGAGCTAACAGAGACAAGAGTCTGTAAGGTCCTGAATAAGGAGAGGACTGTCTTTCACCATCTCCGAAACGGTCCAGTTCTCATCCCTGGTGATATGGTTATTTTATCCCCACTCCACTGTTAACCCCCTGAAAAATGCTCCTCATGTGCAAAAGCAGGTATTCTGTGAGAGTATAAATACTTTCCCTAGTTTACCAAGAATGTGTGAGTGGAAACTAACTAGTCTCCTGTCAGCAAAAGTCCCACTTTTGTTGCTCTCTCTGGTCTGTCCTCTGGATGACTGCAAGATTCAACAGTAACCCAGTGATGCTGAGACTTCGATTTTTCACTTTAAAATGCATGTCTAACAAACACCATTGATTGCAAAGTTAAAGAAACCATTGACTGCTGTGCTCAGATTGTTGCATGCACCTGGTTTATCCCACTTTAAAATGTTTAACCCATTTGCATTAACCAGGCATGATTGGCTTCCTCATTGGAACAATGCATGCATGTCCCCCACCTCAGGAATGAACCAATAGTCTCTGACCAAAGAATAGGCCTCTAGGAAGGCATAGGACTATTGTTGCATTGTTGGAGGCACAGTCATAGAGTACACTGTGCGTTTTTGAGACAATACATGTGACGTATGACAGTGCCCTAAGGTGTCACATTGATGTCTTGTTATAAAAGGGACATGCTCTTTTGACACTTTTGTAATACATTGTTAGTTCATGAAGCCCTTGAGAAGTCAACAATAGGGCCTACCTCATGAGAAATGTTGATTTATTAGGTTGTCAAGAGTAACAAAATGTACCATATGAGACGCCAAAAAATCAAATTCATAATATGTAGTCTCAAACTTCTATTATTCACAAACACTTCTCTGACTGCTTCCTCCTACTGATGTCTGCCTAACTAACCAGTCAGTAATCAATGTTGTTTGATTGCAGAGGGAACATCCCAACTCTAAACAGGTATAGTACACCTTCTTATTGCAACCAATATGTAGACCTGTAGAAGCTGTAGACTAGAAAGCAGCATAGTCAAACAATCATCTGCAGGGAAATGTAACTGAAAGCCGTAATGCCTGCAACCTTTAGAATTGATTTCAATTGTAAATCATCAACCATCCTAAAGTGTATGTTGTGGCAAGACATGATAACATTGGGCATTGGAAATGTTTGGCTATGCTGCTTGTTCCGTTAAGTATTACAAGTTATCCCATAAATGAATCGGATTTTTTAAAATTGGAGCTGTATCTGGTCATGGGTGATCCATTAAATGAATGGCAACAGCATGCCATAATGCAGCATACTGGGAAGACGTGTCTGTCTGTCTGACTATCTGTATATTTCTGTCGGTGTATTGTAGGTGTGTACAGTGCATTCAGAAAGTATTCAGACCCCTTGACCTTTTCTACATTTTGTTACGTTACAGCTTTATTCTAAAATGGATTAAATTGTTTTTTTTCCTCTCATCAATCTACACACAAAACCCCATAATGACAAAGCAAAAACTGGTTTTTAGAAAATTTTGCACACGTATAAAAAACAAAAAACGGAAATATCACATTTACATAAGTATTCAGACCCTTTACTCAGTACTTTGTTGAAGCACCTTTGGCAGCAGTTAGTGCCTCTAGTCTTCTTGGGTAGGAATCTACAACCTTGGCACACCTGTATTTGGGGAGTTTCTCCCATTCTTCTCTGCAGATCCTCTCAAGATCTGTCAGGTTGAATGGGGAGCGTTGCTGCACAGCTATTTTCAGGTCTCTCCAGAGATGTTGGATCGGGTTCCAGTCCGGGCTCTGGCTGGGCCACTCAAGGACATTCAGAGACTTGTCCCGAAGCCACTCCTGTGTTGTCTTGGCTGTGTGCTTAGGGTCGCTGTCCTGTTGGAAGGTGAACCTTCGCCCCAGTCTGAGGTCCTGAGCGCTCTGGAGCAGGTTTTCATCAAGGATCTCTCTGTACTTTGCTCTGTTCATCTTTCCCTCGATCCTTGCTAGTCTCCCAGTCCCTGCCGCTGAAAAACACCCCCACAGAATGATGATGCTGCCACCACCATGCTTCACCATAGGGATGGTGACAGGTTTCCTGCAGATGTGACGCTTGGCATTCAGGCCGAAGAGTTCAATATTGGTTTCATCAGACCAGAGAATCTTGTTTCTCATGGTCTGAGAGTCCTTTAGGTGCCTTTTGGCAAACTCCAAGTGGGCTGTCATGTGCCTTTTACTGAGGAGTGGCTTCCATCTGGCCACTTTACCATAAAGGCCTGATTGGTGGAGTGCTGCAGAGATGGTTGTCCTTCTGGAAGGTTTTCTTATCTCCACAGAGGAACTCTGGAGCTCTGTCAGAGTGACCATCGGGTTCTTGGTCACCTCCCTGACCAAGGCCCTTCTCCCCAGATTGCTCAGTTTAGCCGGGCGGCCAGCTCTAGGAAGAGTCTTGGTGGTTCCAAACTTCTTCCATTTAAGAATGATGGAGGCCACTGTGTTCTTGGGGACCTTCAAAGGCTGCAGGCATTTTTTGGTATCCTTCCCCAGATCTGTGCCTCGACACAATCCTGTCTCGGAGCTCGATGGACAATTCCTTCGACCTCATGGCTTGGTTTTTAGCTCTGACATGCACTGTCAACTGTGGGACCTTATATAGACAGGTGTATGCCTTTCCAAATCATGTCTAATCAATTGAATTTACCAGAGGTGGACTCCAATCAAGTTGTAGAAACATCTCAAGGATGATCAATGGAAACAGGATGCACCTGAGCTCAATTTCTAGTCTCATAGCGAGGGTCTGAATACTCATGTAAATAAGGTATTTATGTTTTTTTATTTTCAATAGATGCGCAAAAATTTCTAAAAACCTGTTTTCAGTTTGTCATTATGGGATATTGTGTGTAGATTGATGAGGAAAGCATTTCATTTTATCCATTTTAGAATAAGGCTGTAACGTAACAATATGTGGAAAAAGGGAAGGGAGGGGTCTGAATACTTTCCGAATGCACCGTATACATACTGTATGTCTATATTGTGCTTCTCTGGAAATGGGGAGTCAAAGTGGCGCAGTGGTCTAAGGCACTGCATCGCAGTGCTAGCTGTGCCGCTAGAGATCCTGGTTCGAATCCAGGCTCTGTCGTAGCCGGCCGCGACCGGGAGACCCATGGGGCGGCGCACAATTGGCCCAGCGTCGTCCAGGGTAGGGGAGGGAATGGCTGGCAGGGATGTAGCTCAGTTGGTAGAGCATGGCGTTTGCAACGCCAGGGTTGTGGGTTCGATTCCCACGGGGGGCCAGTATGAAAAAATTATAATGTATGCACTCACTAACTGTAAGTCGCTCTGAATAAGAGCGTCTGCTAAATGACTAAAATGTAATGTAAAATGTAAAAGATGTAGGTTACTATATAATATTCTGTAACAATATTCTCAAATATTTCTGTGTGAAATGTCCTGTTTTGCATTGTGCTAGTTGTGTTCTGAATGTGCTGCTTGCTGCTGTCCTGTCCTCTCAGGAGACTGTCTTCCCAGCCCCTGCCCCGTCTTCGGACTCGGGACATTAAGCCTGTGTCTGTGGACAGTAACAAACAGGATCCTAAAGCACAGGATGATAAAACAAAGGATGATGCTAAAACAGAGGAGAATAAACCTCCAGATACAGATTACTCTGTGGACAGGTTGGGGCCCATAGAGACTCTAGGCTATATAACATTCTGTGAGCTAACTCAATGGGCTATCTTCTGGGCCTCTCTAAAAGAGGACTTGGCCTCTGTGTGGACGGGAGAGGAGGACCTCTGAATACTAAAAATACCTGGGGAAACTGGGTCTTTCTACTATTTTTGGCCGAGGGAAAATGTACAATGCTTCCATGTTCACTAACATTATACAGATATGTGCTCTTCTTTCACATAATCTACCTCTTAGCATTTCCAGTTGAAGTCGGAAGTTTACATACACTTAGGTTGGAGTCATTAAAACTAATTTTTCAACCACTCCACAAATGTATTGTTAACAAACTATAGTTTTCGCTAGTCGGTTAGGACATCTACTTTGTGCATGACACAAGTAATCTTTCCAACAATTGTTTACAGACAGATTATTTCACTTATAATTCACTGTATCACAATTCCAGTGGGTCAGAAGTTTACATACACTTAGTTGACTGTGCATTTAAACAGCTTGGAAAATTCCAGAAAATGATGTCATGGCTTTAGAAGCTTCTGGTAGACTAATTGATATCATTTGAGTCAATTGGAGGTGTACCTGTGGATGTATTTCAAGGCCTACCTTCAAACTCAGTGCCTCTTTGCTTGACATCATGGGAAAATCAAAATAAATCAAGCCAAGACCTCAGAAAAAAAATTGTAGATCTCCACAAGTCTGGTTCATCCTTGGGAGCAATTTCCAAACGCCTGAAGGTACCACGTTCATCTGTACAAACAATAGTACGCAAGTCTAAACACCATGGGACAACGCAGCCGTCATACCGCTCAGGAAGGAAACGCGTTCTGTCTCCTAGAGATGAACAAAAAGTGCAAATCAATCCCAGAACAACAGCAAAGGACCTTGTGAAGATGCTGGAGGAAACAGGTACAAAAGTATCTATATCCACAGTAAAACAAGTCCTATATCGACGTCACCTGAAAGGCCGCTCAGCAAGGAAGAAGCCACTGCTCCAAAACCGCCATAAAAAAGCCAGACTACGGTTTGCAACTGCACATGGGGACAAATATTGTACTTTTTGGGGAAATGTCCTCTGGTCTGATGAAACAAAAATAGAACTGTTTGGCCATAATGACCATCGTTATGTTTGGAGGAAAAAGGGAGTAGCTTGCAAGCCGAAGAACACCATCCCAACCGTGAAGCACGGGGGTGGCAGCATCATGCTGTGGGGGTGCTTTGCTGCATGAGGGACTGGTGCACTTCACAAAATAGATGGCATCATGAGGAAGGAAAATTATGTGGATATATTGAAGCAACATCTCAAGACATCAGCCAGGAAGTTAAAGTTTGGTTGTAAATGGGTCTTTCAAATGGACAATGACCCTAAGCATACTTCCAAAGTTGTGGCAAAATGGCTTAAGGACAACAAAGTCAAGGTAATGGAGTGGCCATCACAAAGCCCTGACCTCAATCCTATAGAAAATTTGTAGGCAGAACTGAAAAGGCGTGTGCGAGCAAGGAGGCCTACAAACCTGACACAGTTACACCAGCTCTGTCAGGAGGAATGGGCCAAAATTCACCCAAATTATTGTGGGAAGCTTGTGGAAGGCTCCCCGAAACGTTTGACCCAAGTTAAACAATTTACAGGCAATGCTACCAAATACTAATTGAGTGTATGTAAACTTCTGACCCACTGGGAATGTGGTTAAATAAATAAAAGCTGAAATAAATAATTCTCCCTACTATTATACTGACATTTCACATTCTTAAAATAAAGTGGTGATCCTAACTGACCTAATACAGGGAATTTTTACTAGGATTAAATGTCAGGAATTGTGGAAAACTAGGTTTAAATATATTTGGGTAAGGTGTATGTAAACTTCCGACTTCAACTGTAAATACTGCTGCTGGGCTACTCCGTGAGCAGTACATCCAGATCTATAAGATGCATATTCCGTTTTTATATTCGGATCCTCATTCACTGTTCTCTGTGAGAACACTATGCTGTATTAGTGTTAGTATGGAAGTGAATGAGTCAGAATGTTCCTTCTGTCCCAGCAACTTATCACAGATATATTAAATACTGCTGGTTGGTGGGGGGCTCTTAAAGGTGACTCTCCTATGGGCCAGAAATGGATTCTGCCCTGCTCCCTGCTCTGGCCCAGCTCTGGGCTACTGAGTGAGTGAATGAGTGAGTGAAAGGGTGGGTGGGTGAGTGAGTGAATGTGTGTGCTGCAGGACCCCGGTCTAATGGCTGTCTGTTGTGATCCCAGGATGTCGTTCTCGTCTAACCTGAACCACTACGGCATGGTCCACGTGGGCAGTGTGAGCGACGTCCTCCTGGACACCTCCTTTACCCCACCCTGCCAGCGCATGGGAGCCATGGTCTCCTTCCGCTCCTTCCAGGAGTTCACCAGGTGAAGGCTGGGCAATTTTGACCTTTTCAAAATCATTACATTATGACTTTTATTATTGTCCCACGTTGGGAAATGGTGTTATTGAATTGGAGATGTAATACTGAGAAATTACCTCAAGTGTGTGTGTCTGTGTGTGGTGTCTAACCAGGATCCTTTCCTCTCCATCAGGAACATTAAAGACGTGATGAGCTGTTTCTCTGACTCTCCTCCTCCCAGCCCCACCTTCCCAGAGGGAGGGAACCCTGTGCTCTATGGAGAGGAGGACACCAAGGTCAGAACTGTCCGCTAGTACTGATTCTGATGTGTATTGTAACACTACAGAGTATTGTGACTAAGAGAGCCCTTTGTTCAATGCATGGCATCAAAGTAGAATTACCTTCCTGTTCTTCATATAGTCGCAATAGATAATTTCTCTCTGAATTGTATGACTGATGTTTTGCCTGCATGTGTTTGTGTGACCCAGAGTATCCAAGACGAGCCCGTTCACATTCTCAACGTGGCCATCAAGACTGACAGTGACATCGATGACGACGGCCTGGCTGCCATGTTCCGGGAGTTCACCCAGACAAAGGTAAGATGTTTAGGATGAGCCTTTCAGGAAGTACAACTGGACACCTCCGTCGCTCACACTTTCTCTTCCTGTGTCTTATTCCCCCAGAAATCCCTGCTGTTTGAACATGGCATCCGCAGGCTGACCTTCCTGGTAGCTCAGAAGGTGAGCGCTAGGACTCCCAATCCCCTACTCTAACCTCAGATCTCTAACCAACTCTCTTCCAATCACCATCAACTATCTTATCTTAATCACAATGATGCACGTTGGCTCTACAGACATCCAGACGGCACGAGAGAGTCACACGTTTAATTTGGAATGGCCTGTAATTTGACCATCGTTTGTATCTCAAATTTGGCTGTTTTGCTTGCTCTCTGTCTCTCTTTTCTCTCTCTGTCTCCTGTCCCTCTCTGTATCCATGTCTTGCCTTTGCTGTGGGGTTTGTGCTGACAGGATTTCAGGAAGGCAGTCAACTGTGAGGTGGACCAGAGGTTTCATGTGAGTAGTGGGAAGATGTGGATGATAACTGTGGAACAGTAGAGTTTGTCTTCCTGTATTGTCAACTCTTTCCCTGGACCACTCGAAGTAGCTTTTGGTTGGCTTCAGGGAGATAATGAGGGCATTTGAGACTAAAGACATTTGGGTAAATGCCAGGTTCCCTTCTCTCTCCCTGCGTCAGCCCTCTGAATGATGCCCTTTCTTTTGACAAGAGAAGAACAGGCTCTGATGAGAGCTAATCACTGCCATTGGTGTGGCCCTCCTACATTAGAGACTCACTCAGTTCCTCTGAGTACACTGACCAGTGTATTCACACATAATAAATCCTGTATTCTCTGTTATGCTAACACCATTGTGTTGTCATCAAATCAGTCCTATATACAGGCTTGTAGTGGGCATTAGTGCCTCAGACTAATACACAACTGTCCTGTCATTATATACAGATTGAGTTGATGAGTGTTTGCAATTAGTCCGGTATTGTTTGGCCAAGTGGGGTGCGAGCCTCAAAGCCAAACCTGACAATCAGGCTTCAAGCTAGAGCGTTCAGAAATACAAATCGCTCCCTGTGAAAAGAGAATGTTTTATTCATTAGATTAGCTGTCGCTGCTCCCCTGCTGCCTGTCACTGTCTGTCATTATGTGAATAGGCAGTTTGGGAGAATACAACCTCAGACATCAGCACAAATGGGAAGAGATCAGGGCTGTTGAATGTTAAACAGGCTCTTCCTGATCACAGACCGATGCCATAGTGTTCCTCCTCACTGTCACAGCAATTCACATAGCGCTCATCACAGCTCATTGAGGGAGAAATGTAGAACCGTAGAAGGAAATGTAACCACTTAGTGTTGTTAGAATGTCACTCATTTTCACCTGCAGTCATTCTATTCTCTAGAGGTCATGTCTACCTTTAGTCTAGCTGATTCTGGAACTTAGTTGCAGCATAGCAGGGATTCTTGAAATCCTGGACTCAAAGCCCTAACTCTCTCTTACTCTGTATTAACCAGTAGAACTGGTAGGTTGACAATGTGTGTTCTTCGCAACATGTGAATCTGTTTGTGTAACTGTACTCTCTCCTCACCTGTCTGTCTCTCACACAGAGGGAGTTCCCCAAGTTCTTCACCTTCCGGTCCAGAGACAAGGTGCGTGTCTTCACACTGTCTGTGTGTCAATATGAACACTGACTTTATGAGCTACCATCAAATAACCAGTAATAGTCTGCTCAGGGATAGTAGTCACTGAACAGGTTCAATCCATCCCAAAAAGATAAGGGAATTCATATTTGAAGTGCTAACACTCAGACTGAATGTATAACTTAGATGAAAGATGAGCCCAAATGACCACGCTTCTCAATGTGTAGACTAGAGTTACAGCGGAACAGCTAAGCAAGTGTCAACTAACCAAGTGTCAATTTCACATGATGGCAACAATAGAGGTGAGGAAATTTGACTAAGATGGTTGCAGAAAAGTACCTTCCCTCCTTCCTTGCTCACCCCTTAGTTGGCACTGAAAGTCACTCCATTATGATCAATGGTGGCTCTTCCCCTGCCTAGGCCCCTGATAGTCTCACTACAATGGCACCACCAAAACTCATTACCGTAATTAACTATTTAATTATGTCCCCCATTTAAGAGAAATGACACCCATTAGCAGGCTGAGATTGCTTTTGATTTCATTTACTTAATGCAGTGTATGGCTGGCGGGCACCCTCTAGTCTTATACAAACCCAATGCTCCTGAAACAGCCAATTGGATGATGGTAGGGCAGCCTAACTGGTAAAGGCCTTGAGGAAAATTCATTCCCATTCCTTGAACCTTCAATTGGTTTGTATGACAGTATCTTGCTGTGCGTGACTGTCCTGCTGTGTGTGACGGTGTCTTGCGTCTTCCTGTGTAACTGATTGTCCCCCTGTGTGTCTAGTTTGAGGAGGACAGGATCTACCGTCACTTGGAGCCAGCGCTGGCCTTCCAGCTGGAGCTCAACCGCATGCGTAACTTTGCTCTGACCGCCATCCCCTGTGCCAACCACAAGATGCACCTGTACCTGGGCGCTGCCCGCGTGGAGGTGGGAACAGAGGTCACCGACTACCGCTTCTTTGTCCGGGCCATCATCCGTCACTCAGACCTGGTCACCAAGGTGAGAGCGATAGTGACACACTACTTACATGCCTGTGTGTGTGTGTGAGTGATTTAATACACCTGTTCAGTTTGTGTGTATGTGAAAACGTGCCCCTCTGACCTCTGCTCCTGTCCTTTGTCTACAGGAGGCGTCTTTTGAGTACCTCCACAACGAGGCAGAGCGTCTGCTGTTGGAGGCCATGGACGAGCTGGAGGTGGCCTTCAACAACACCACCGTACGAACTGACTGCAACCACATCTTCCTCAACTTTGTTCCCACCGTCATCATGGACCCCTCCAAGGTCAGTGGCAGCACACCCAAGATCTGTACGTACCCTGTGTTCATTGTTCACGTGTACGTTGTGTTTGTGCACTGTACATGGAGTGATGTGTTTTGGTGTTGTGTGTATTGTATATGCTTTATTAGTAACCTCTATGTGCCCATGTTCAGATTGAGGAGTCAGTGCGCTCCATGGTGATGCGTTACGGCAGTAGGCTGTGGAAGCTCCGGGTCCTCCAGGCGGAGCTGAAGATCAACATCCGGCTGACGCCCACGGGCAAACAGATCCCCATCCGCCTGTTCCTCACCAACGAGTCAGGCTACTACCTGGACATCAGCCTGTACAAGGAGGTCACCGACTCCCGTACGGGACAGGTGGGGCCCAAAGACCGACAGGTGGGGCACTCGCACGTCTTTCATCCCTCACGGCCCACACTCCCAAGCAATCACAGGCAGGGGAAGCAGCCTCACACAGAACCCTCAGCTCCCAGAATGCATCTTAATGGGCAACTCTTGGTTCATGCTCAAGTATTTTGAAGTTTAATTAAGAAATATATGACATGCGAACTGTGGATCAGTCAGTCTACTGTGTGAAGTGGAGCTGAGGGTTCTTTAAGTGGTCTGGCCAGCCTCTAGCCTGTTGGACAAGACTAGCAGTGATCATGATATTTTCCTTTATATAGGAGAACAGGTAAGTTGCATCCATCTATATATCATCCCATTCCATTGCAATACGAGGGTAAATGTTCCATAAGTCAAACAGTCATTGGCAGAGAGCATATGCAGGTAGCTAAGAGTGTTAAAAAATAATGCCCCTACTACTACGATGCGAGAAATAATGAACTGTAACACTTCCCATTTGTTTTTCTGGGCAGGTGCCTTATTAGTATGAAATTCAATTTGGGTTCTATTTTGGAGCTGGTAGATGACGCTGAGTTGAGTGATGATCCGGTGCATTGTGCTCAGCCTTATTCATTAACACTTAACACAGGCGTGGCCAGGCCCATTCTTACCTTGTTCTCATGGACCCCTAACATGTCTCAATAGCCAGATGTGGTAGATTAACTCCTTTTATCTTCCAAAATGACTTTATTGTGTGAAGCACAAGAGAAACAGTGTTCTCATTCTGAGGAGTCGATATGTCTCTAATGTGATGTGACACAGCTCAGGTTAACAGGTCTGGTCAAAGGACCTAATCAGACGGAACAGCTGATAGGGATGGTAAAGAACATGACTTCATGTTCTCCTATTGCAGATAGAACTGAATCCACAGCTCTGGTCAGCATTGTCACCGTTTCATGTTTCTTGGAATACGCTCCATGTCGGATATCTGTCTTCATTACATTACATATTGTGTACTGTGTTCTCTGTAGATATGTGTGTTGCAAAGGGCAGCTAGTATCCGTGTGTGGTGAGTGACTCTGTGTCCTCTCTCCTTCAGATCATGTTCCAGGCTTATGGGGACAAGCAGGGTCCTCTGCATGGCATGCTCATCAACACCCCCTATGTGACCAAGGACCTGCTGCAGTCCAAACGCTTCCAGGCCCAGTCCCTGGGAACCACCTACGTCTACGACTTCCCTGAGATGGTCAGACAGGTATGGACCTCGACACAACGGCTCACAGTGGTCTCCGTTGATGGTGTACATAAAAACATACTATCATGTTTGAGGTCAATTGCATTTCAACTCGGTCAATCCAGGAAGTGAATTGAAATCCAATGCATGAAATGAAGATCTCACATAGTAAAATAAGGGGACATTTCCAATTTATTAATACAAATGTCTCCCCTGAATTGACTGAATTTAAATGGAATTGACCTCAACCCTGCGTGTTTTCACTCTACAGTAGAGGTCTGCACGGGACTGATTTATTCTTCCCACTCCCGCCCGCACCTGCTGGCTTTCTGTCTGACCCCCACCCTCTACTGCAAGAACTGGTCCCGAACCCAACTCCAGTCCCGCAATATTATTTTAGGCGTATGTGACGCAGCTCCCTGGCCAGCCATGGTCGCAGCAATTTTGCGCCCTAAAGGCAATATCAAAATGCGCAAAAATAACCTAAGAAATAGGTTAAATTACCAGAGATTCTTCTGTGGCCCGTTATATTAGGCTATCGGTATTACTGGGCTATATCAGCCAATATGCTAGATGTAGTTTGGAGAGAGCAGAGTTGGAGAGACTTGCACTTTCTCTTGAGCTATTTTTATAGCCTACCTTTTAGGAGTGGGGTGATTTTCAGACGGAGACAAATATGGGTGATCAATATTTATGTCTAGGCAATTTAGTAAACTGTAGCCTAATCATATTTAGGAAGTACATTTCCTTGGAAAGATAACTGCCCCCGTGCTTCTCCGCTCATGTATAGGCAGCCTACTCTATTTCATTGAGACCACACGCGTTCCTGATCTTGCGTTTATGGCTACTGAACTAGAAGCAGCAAGAATGATGAGAGCGCACACTTGCACTTTGTCTTGAGCTATGTTTTGCATATAGGATATAGCCTACCTTTTAGGAGGACGAATTGCAGGCAGAGACAAATATGGGTAATCAATACTTATTGATAATGAAAAGGTGCAGCGCTCGCTCACCATGGTAACCTTTGCGCGCATTGTGCTTTTTCCTTTTCAATGATGATCATATTTTTCGATTGCACCTCGATTCACGTTGGTTGAGCGCCCTCCACTTCTTTCCATTATCAATATTTATTGACAGACACTAGTTAACTACAGTCTAATCATATTGAATGTAATTTCCTTGGAAAGATAACTGCCACGTGCTTCTCCGCCCATGTAGGCAACCTAATGTATTTCATTGAGACGACACATACTAGGCGCACTTGATCTCGCACGCCCAACTAGGAGAGGAGAGGTAGGCTAATTAACTTCAAGCAGCAAATTCTGAGAGTGTTTGAATAATGCGAAAAAGACGTGCTTTTAATACAATAGGTAGGCTAACGCATACAAAGCAGAAAGACGACCGTTTCCAAATAATCTGCGGGACAACAAAAATATTTTCATCCCAAAGTTATCTCTCTGACCGGCCGCTCCCAACCGCAGCATGAAAAATGACGACCTTGCCGTAATGATCTCTGTCGGGCCCTGCAGTACTCTACTCTACAGTAAGCATGTTATACTAAGAGTGAGCAGCAGTCCCTTGACTCCTCCTCTCTCTGGCTCCTCTTTCCTCCAGGCTCTAAAGAAGCTGTGGCAGTCCACCCAAGCCTTCGCCCACCTGCCCAAATGCCCTCTGCCCTCTGAGCTGCTCACCTTCACAGAGCTGGTCCTGGACCCACAGGGACAGCTGGTGCAGATGAACCGTCTACCAGGAGGGAACGAGGTGAGGAGTAACTCCTTTTAAACTTGCAGTTCCATTTCTATTCTGTAGGTGTCCCTGTGTTTCTTTGGCAGGATTGTTCAGTAGCTGTTTGCCAGGCATTGTCTTTATGCATATGTCAATTAATAGAAGAGTAATGCCCCTGTTTTGTTTGCTGTGAAATATGTATCGTCTCCACTACATAATACATTAATATGTGTACCTGTGTGTGTCCCTCTAGATTGGCATGGTGGCCTGGCGGATGACCCTCAGGACCCCAGAGTACCCGGCAGGGCGTGAGATTATTGTGATCAGTAATGACATCACACACAAGATTGGTTCGTTTGGCCCGCAGGAGGACCTGCTGTTCCTACAGGCCTCAGAGATGTCCAGGGAGAGTGGCATCCCTCGCATCTACATCTCTGCCAACAGTGGTGCCCGCATCGGCCTGGCAGAAGAGATCAGACACATGTTCCATGTGGCCTGGCAGGACACGGCAGACCCCTACAAGGTCAGCTGGCAGAAGGGGGGCATTGGGGTGTAGATGTTCTGTTGAAGAATTTAAACTCTACTTGGATTTGTAGATTATTAGTGTTGTAGGACTCTGTTAGCAGATGTCTCTGCCCAAGTACGCTACATAACCAAAAGTATGTGGACACCTGCTCGTCGAACATCTCATTCCAAAGTCATGGGCATTAATATGGGGTTGGTCAACAGCCTCCAGTCTTCTGGGAAGGCTTTTCACTAGATGTTGGAACATTGCTGCGGGGACTTGCTTCCATTCAGCCACAAGAGCATTAGTGAGGTCGGGCACTGATGTTGGGCGATTAAGCCTGGCTCGCAGTCGGTGTTACAATTCATCCCAAAAGTGTTCGATGGGATTGAGGTCAGGGCTCTGTGCAGGCCAGTCAAGTTCTTCCACACCGATCTTGACAAACCATTTCTGTATGTACCTCGCTTTGTGCATGGGGGCATTGTCATGCTGAAACAGAAAAGGGCCTTCCCCAAACTGTTGCTACAAAGTTGGAAGCACAGAATCGTCTAGAATGTCATTGTATGCTGTAGCATTAAGATTTCCCTTTAAGGGGCCTAGCCCGAACCATGAAAAACAGCCCCAGACCACTTTACAGTTGGCACTATGCATTGGGGCAGGTTGCGTTCTCCTGGCATCTGCCAAACCCAGATTAGTCCGTCGGACTGCCAGATGGTGAAGCGTGATTCATCACTCCAGAGAACGCGTTTCCACTGCTCCAGATTCCAATGGCGGTGAGCTTTACACCACTCCAGCCGATGCTTGGCATTGCGCATGGTGATCTTAGGCTTGTGTGCGGCTGCTCGGCCATGGAAACCCATTTCATGAAGCTCCCGACGAACAGTTCTTGTGCTGACGTTGCTTCCAGAGGCAGTTTGGAACTCTGTAGTGAGTGTTGCAACCGAGGACAGACCATTTTTACGTGCTACGCACATTAGCACTCGGCGGTCTCGTTCTCTGAGCTTGTGTGTCCGACCACTTCGCTGCTGAGCTGTTGTTACTCCTAGACGTTTCCACTTCACATGGACAGCACTTACAGTTGACCGGGGCAGCTCTAGCAGGGCAGAAATTTTACGAACTGACTTGTTGGAAAGGTGGCATCCTATGACGGTGCCACGTTGAAAATCACTGAGCTTTTCAGTAAGGCCAATCTACTGCCAATGTTTGTCTATGGATATTGCATGGCTGTGTGCTCAATTTTATACACTAATTTGAAGGGGTGTCCACATACTATTGGTTGCAGTCTGCAACTTCAAAGTCTTTGTTTCTCTCCACAGGGCTTCAAGTACCTGTACCTGACCCCTCAGGACTACAAGAAGGTGTCAGCCCTGAATTCGGTTTACTGTGAACACATAGAGGACGAGGGAGAGTCCAGGTGAGTCCAGACATTACCCCTCAGCCATATTATTATTCACTGTCACCCTGTTCAATAGAGATAATACATCCAGCTCACTGGCCAGCGGAGAAACTGAATCTACAACCTGTAAGAGAATCAATGAACTGTGCATAAATACACATGAAGAGCCCCGGACAATGGGAGACATAGAATAAAGAAAAGGAGGAAGTGATGAGGTCCAGTGAGAGAGGTGGGATGTGTCTGACAGAGCCTTTCCTTGTTCAGGTACAAGATCACTGACATCATTGGGAAGGATGATGGTCTGGGGGTGGAGAACCTGAAGGGCTCCGGGATGATCGCTGGAGAGTCCTCTCTGGCCTACGACCAGGTCATCACCATGAACCTGGTACGCACCGACACACTGGATGTACTGACATGCACACCTACACACACGTCATGTCTAAGTTACTACTTAAGTGCTGCTCTTAAGAGGCAGAGGATGGCAGATGTAAGAATGGGTTTACCCTGATCACTGACATGCACTTGACCAGTGGTTTCCTAAGCAGGCTGTGTGTGCTTCTCTCTCCAGGTAACGTGTCGAGCTATAGGGATCGGAGCCTACCTGGTCAGGCTGGGTCAGAGGACCATCCAGGTGGAAAACTCCCACATCATTCTTACTGGGGCTGGAGCTCTCAACAAGGTAAGGGCCAGCATCATTCCCCCTGTCCTGGCTGTACCTCATGGCACATGAAACTCTCACTGAAATACTGAGAGCTATTCTGGATGCAGCGTTGCAGTGCAGCTTCTACATAGGGACATTAGCTCTTTGTCTGTAGCATAGGAGGTCAGCTGTAGCACCCCCATGCATCACTAACAACAAGACTACACGTTATTAAGTTAACCATTTATAAAACAGATACAGTAAAGGTCTTTTAATACTCTTAATTGTCCTGTTGTTTTTTTAAAGAGAATAGGCGAGATGTTAATGTGTGTTTTTGCACTGTGCTCCGTCGTCTGTGACCCAAATAGATTGTTCCTGAGTTCATGCAATTAACGCATCTGCATTTTAATATGGAATTTCACTATTAATATGGAATTAGTTGAGCATGCCATTTATTTTGCAGTTAATTTGAGGAAGAGGACAAAGTGATGTGTGTGTGTGTGTGTGTATTTGTGTTATACTGTAGAGATGGAATGCTATTGAATAGATACAGTTGAAGTCGGAAGTTTACATACACCTTAGCCAAATACATTTAAACTCAGTTTTTCACAATTCCTGACATTTAATCCTGGTAAAAATTCCCTGTATTAGGTCAGTTAGGATCACCACTTTATTTTAAGAATGTGAAATGTCAGAATAATAGTAGAGAGTGATTTATTTCAGCTTTTGTTTCTTTCATCACATTCCCAGTGGGTCAGAAGTTTACATACACTCAATTAGTATTTGGTAGCATTGCCTGTAAATTGTTTAACTTGGGTCAAACATTTCGGGGAGCCTTCCACAAGCTTCCCACAATAAGTTGGGTGAATTTAGGCCCATTCCTCCTGACAGAGCTGGTGTAACTGAGTCAGGTTTGTAGGCCTCCTTGCTCGCACACGCTTTTTCAGTTCTGCCCACAAATTTTCTATAGGATTGAGGTCAGGGCTTTGTGATGGCCACTCCAATACCTTGACTTTGTTGTCCTTAAGCCATTTTGCCACAACTTTGGAAGTATGCTTGGGGTCATTGTCCATTTGGAAGATGCATTTGCGACCAAGCTTTAACTTCCTGACTGATGTCTTGAGATATTTCTTCAATATTTCCACATAATTTTCCTTCCTCATGATGCCATCTATATTGTGAAGTGCACCAGTCCCTCCTGCAGCAAAGCATGATGCTGCCACCTCCGTGCTTCACGGTTGGGATGGTGTTCTTCAGCTTGCAAGCATTTTCCTCCAAACATAACGATGGTCATTATGGCCAAACAGTTCTATTTTTGTTTCATCAGACCAGAGGACATTTCTCCAAAAGGTACGATCTTTGTCCCCATGTGCAGTTGCAAACCGTAGTCTGTCTTTTTTGTGGCGGTTTTGGAGCAGTGGCTTCTCCTTGCTGAGCGGCCTTTCAGGTTATGTCGATATAGGACTCGTTTTACTGTGGATATAGATACTTTTGTACCTGTTTCCTCCAGCATCTTCACAAGGTCCTTTGCTGTTGTTCTGGAATTTATTTGCACTTTTCGCACCAAAGTACGTTCATCTCTAGGAGACAGAACGCGTCTCCTTCCTGAGAGGTATGACAGCTGCGTGGTCCCATGGTGTTTATACTTGCATAATATTGTTTGTACAGATGAACGTGGTACCTTCAGGCGTTTGGAAATTGCTCCCAAGGATGAACCAGACTTGTAAAGGTCTACACAGGTCTTGGCTTGATTTCTTTTGATTTTCCCATGATGTCAAGCAAAGAGGCACTGAGTTTGAAGGTAGGCCTTGAAATACATCCACAGGTACACCTCCAATTGACTCAAATGATGTCAATTAGCCTATCAGAAGCTTCTAAAGCCATGACATCATTTTCTGGAATTTTCCAAGCTGTTTAAAGGCACAGTCAACTTATTGTATGTAAACTTCTTACCCACTGGAATTGTGATACAGTGAATTATAAGTGAAATAATCTGTCTGTAAACAATTGTTGGAAAAATTACTTGTGTCATGCACAAAGTAAATGTCCTAACCGACTTGCCAAAACTATAGCTTGTTAACAAGAAATGTGTGGAGTGGTTGAAAAATGAGTTTTAATGACTCCAACCTAGTGTATGTAAACTTCCGACTTCAACTGTAGGAAATATCCCTTAAGAGTGAACAATAAAACGGACAGCTCCCTCTTAACTAGGAGGCAGAAAGATGGTGTCACATCTGAATCTAAGAAAACAAATGATAATGGTGTTTTCTGATCCTCTATTTCTCTCATGCTGTGTACATTTTTCCAGCTCAGTGATCAGGCCCTTTTCTCCCTTGTTCTGTGGTTGAAACTCCCTCCACTCCCCTCGCCTCCCCCCTCCTCTCATCTCCCCAGTCATACTGCTGCAGCTCCTGGTGGAATAATAGAAAGAGAAGCGTGAAGTTGTTATTTGCATAGAAATGGCAACGTGACGCCTGAGGCTGCTGCTGGGGAGAAGGACACCCATATCATTTGTCTCCAATCAGAATGAAAAGTTTTGCTAAGGCAGATTGTTTTCTCTCTCTGTGCTCCATGACCACTGACTACCCACCGCTTCCTCCATCCCTCTCTCCCTCCGTCTCCACTCCCTCCATCTCTCCTCCCTGTCTCTGCATTAACATGACTCCATTCCAAATTACATTCCAAATTTGCGCATGACAAAACACAACTACATGCACGTTTCCATTTGCAGGTTTTGCTGCAAGCACGCCCGTGTGTGCGCGGGCGTTTTTGGATGCTGGTTGCTAGAGAAATGTCAGGAGATTGTGTCGGTTACAGTGTGTGTGACAGTAAATGTGGAAAATGTATCATATACATTTTTTATTGAAAACTAACAGATGTATCCATTTCGCAGTAAATTTGTAGTTTTCCTTCATTCTTTTTTTTTACTATAACATATCAAGTCGATGGTTCCCAATTTTCCACATTGGCAGTAAATCTATAGTTTCCTTTTTTTTTTACTTACTGTAACATTATCAAATGGATGTGTCACAATTGAATGTGTCCATTCACAATGATGGTCCATCCATTCAGCAGTAGCCATGGCAAAAAAAAAAAAAAAGACATTCACTATAACCCACATATTATATCCCCATAGACTCCCTGGTTCACCAAAGCCGTATGAAGAGGACGTACACACATCTTGATACAGTCATTTAATTCACTGATGGACATCTTTCTCCTATTTGTATGGTGGCTGGATAGTAACTACTGGCACAAATATCCCAGTGGGCCTATGTCCCTCCCTCTCTCCTCTCCCTCTGCTGTGGAATCTTAATGAACCCAGGCCCAGCCCGGTGGCACACAGGCCCTGCGTCTGCCTGTCAAGGTGACTGCAATGCTGGCCGGGGCCGCGGGCTGTCCTGACAGCTTTAGGAGAGCGCCCAGGATTTGTAGCCAGGGACATAACCATTAATGGTAATAAAGAAAGTAAATGATGGCCGAAGAGGTGAGAGCTGAGAGTGAGCAACGAGCACCTCTCTGTGTTTTACCGAGCAGTGTCCTTTGAGCGGCCGCCTGCCCCTGTGTGTGTGGCGGGGGCGGGGAGGTTAATGGGTCCGGCGGGTCACAGGAGCAGTTTGGACGCCAAAATGAGTTCAGTGGCCTCCATGCCATCCTTCATTAGCCTCTCACACCGGGAGACACGCACAATAAACCAATATACACACACTCAAACAGGCAGTCTCATACACGTGCTATTGTGTGTGTGTGTGTGAGCGTGTGTGTGCGCGTGCTTGTCTTTCTATGCGTGTGGGTGCTCATAAACTGGCAGTGTGCAGCTCTTTGTCATGGCTCCTGTCAATAGTGTGAGTGGATAGAGTGTCAGGAAGGACAAATCTCAGGTATTAATTCACTCTGGAGGTTACAAATAACGCGGCCGCCTGGGAGAGCGCCAGGTGCCCGTGGCGCCCAGTGAATGCTTTGATAGTGATCCCTGGCCACCGATCGACAGTATTGACGAGGCCAAGGTACGGTGGTGAGCAGCAGGGTCCCTGTCACCTGAGAGATAGGTCTGTGTGTGGGATCCTATTGATCCACAGCCCCAGGGACCAGGGCCCTGGTGACACCACCTTCCATCCCCAGCCTCAGAGGGTTGAGCTATTCCCTGTAGTGAGAAGAATGGGTAGCCATTACCTACCCATACCTAATGTCTAAATATTGTTGGTGGTCTCTCAGCTAGTAGTTTGTAGGGAAATCGGCTAACATGGTTTGGTTTCGTTTGGTTTGACACATGACTATGGAAGAAATCACGAATGGTAAACAGAATATGACATCACATCACCCCCATCTTGTTCTTTCCCCAGGTGCTGGGTAGAGAGGTGTACACCTCCAACAACCAGCTGGGTGGGATTCAGATCATGCACAACAACGGTGTGACCCACAGCACTGTGTGTGATGACTTTGAGGGAGTCCACATGCTACTGCACTGGCTCTCCTACATGCCCAAGGTTAGCACCAGCTCTTATCAGCATTTAATCCATTGTCCATCCATTTAGGCTTATCTAATGCAAATGTACCTTTACACTGTTAGCTTCTCAGTGAAGCTGTGTTAAATGCAGAGTCAATGTTTACATGTCCCCCCCTCTCAGGACCGATCTAGTTCTGTGCCCATCATCAATGCCAAGGACCCCATAGACCGGCTGGTGGAGTTTATTCCCACCAAGGCCCCCTATGACCCCCGCTGGATGCTGGCAGGACGCCCCAGCCAGAGTGAGTACCCTCCTTCCTTCCTCTCAGAGATGAACATTTACAGTACTCCACAAACAAGAAGCAACTACTTTTCACTTACCACATTGTGCACTTGCAACATAATGCAGACTCAGTGCCACAGTCATCGCTCATCACCTACCTATCTAATATTTCCATCGCTGTGCAATAAAGGATCTTCATAATTCTCTCCTATCATAATAATCACTCACTTGTAGTCATTCATCCTCTCCTCCAGTCACAGTAATGCTGCATCAGCAGGTGTTGAAACAGCAGCTCTTCATACTTCAATTTAGTCTGAGTGTCATTTAAAGGTTGGCCTGCGATTTGCGCTATGATCATTTCAGGCAGATCTCCCTGAGGTCAGGGGTTAAACTAATTCCTGTTTGTTAGAGAGGGTTATAGGCTCTCCACACACTGAGAGACACGGTGAACCCTGAGCAATATTCTAGCTGGGTGGATAAAGAGAGAGAGATAGCAGGGGAATGGATGGCTGGTGTTATACATGCAGGGTCAGGCCCGAGCAGATTCCATATCAGTGTAATTACAACTTTGGGCAGAAGGAGAGATTGGGGCCGGTAGGGCGGTGCGGTGTGAGGAGAGACCAGTTCATGTCTTTAGTTGTGATGAGTGGGGAGGCTTAATTGAATGGTAACCTCTTAGACTAGCCCTGTCTTGCTCACTCTGCCAGGAGCAGGAGAGCTGAGCTAGGCTCTTTACAGCCTCATCCGTCATGGGACCTGACAAGATTAGAGATTTCTGTTTAAAAAGAAAAAACACTGTTTTTGCCCTCATGGATATGACAGGAGTGTAGAATCTGGAGGGAAAAAATCATTTTTCTGACAAGTAACGGAATGTTTTATTTCTTATTTACAAATGTTTACTTTGTAATAATAAATTATTTAAACTCTCCCTCTCCTCCTCTCTCGCTCTCTCTCTCTGCAGCTCCAAAGGGGCCGTGGCAGAGTGGGTTCTTCGATCATGGCTCGTTCTCAGAGATCATGCAGCCGTGGGCTCAGAGTGTGGTGGTGGGCAGAGCCAGGTAAGGAACCACATCACTCCACTGTTTTTAAGCAATATAGACACGCTATAGTCCTTTGATAAACATACCAGGGGCCTCATTTATAACTGGTGCATAATTTTCACACTACATTTCTGCATGCACCATTTTTTTAGAAGAATACGTACATATAAAAATATTGAGATTTATAAACTTGGCGCACGCTTTGTATACGCGTGTTTTCCATTATAAATCAGACATGTCATGAAACTGTGTGCGTGAACGAGCATTATAACTCCGCCATGAACCTTTTATGGTGACAAAACGCCCTGTATTTGCTGTATAATTTGGAACTATTGGCATTAGACCATGGCAGTTTCTAAAAGAAAGAGCAATGGCAATTTTTATCACATTTCTGTAGAGGTGTGGGCAGAATGTTTTCATATTTTACAGTGACTTTTTCGAACTAAACATGCATGCTGCCTATAGCGAGTGCCAAACACTTTAATGATTGTATGTTCGAAACTATTTAAAAGTAAATGCTACAGCCCACTCTTCTATGCAAAAGACAAATTGTTGTTCAATATTTTTGCTTATCAATAGATTATTGGGTTTCTATCTCCTGCCTTGGTATAGGATTCAATAGGCTATGATGTCACGCGCCTATCACACAGCAATACTGTAGCCTATACCCAGACTGTCACATCTTTTACATAAGCTACCAGTTTATTTACTGTGTTGGCAGAATGTATTTTTTATTTTATTTTTTACCCCCTTTTTCCTCCCAATTTCAATTATGATCTTGTCTCATCGCTGCAACTCCCCAACGGGCTCGGGAGAGGTGAAGGTCGAGTCATGGTCCACTGAAACATGACCCGACAAACCGCGCTCCTTAACACCTGTCCGCTTAACCCGGAAGCCAGCTGCACCAATGTGTCGAAGGAAACACTGTTCAACTGACGACCAAAGTCAGTCTGCAGGCACCCGGCCTGCCACAAGGAGTCGCTATGGCATGATGAGCCAAGTAAAGCCCCCCCGGCCAAACCCTCCCCTAACCCGGATGATGCTGGGCCAATTGTGCGCCGCGGCCGGTTGTGTGACAGCCTGGGATCGAACCCGGGTCTGTAGTGACGCCTCAAGCACTGCGATGCAGTGCCTTAGACCGCTGCGCCACTCGGGAGGCCCCTTTGGCAGAATGTTTTAATCTTTTGCAGTAATTTATGCTGTATTTGGTGAAGGACTGTGACAGTTTCTGAAAGAAAAAACAATGGCAAATTGTTGTGGCTCTGTCTGCAGAATGTTTGAATTCAACAATGTTTCCCTCCCTCCCCCAACCTAATATGCTGGACCGCCCATGAATTCTGAAACATTGTCTAGGCTGCTCATAAAATAAAATGTACAGTAGGTTACCAACAATAGTAGCATACATGCATCAGATCAAAAGATCAACTGTCCTATGGGATGGCATACAGCAAAACCTGAAATACATAGCCTATCTGTTAACTTGGCTACTAGGCCCAATTAGATGAGAGCTGTGCATGGTAATTTGTTGTATGACTACTTCAAGATGCTAACCCATCACGGCCAGAAAAGGTGAGGAATTTATTCTGCAATGGTTATGAAAATAAATAGGAAAAGATTCCTATGTCTAATTATTTTCGCTCTTCTCACTAAAAGCAAATGGCTGCATCTTGTTCTTATGAATAAGCTTATCATATCCATTTGCACAAAATACTTACTTGCCTGCTTGCAAAAAAAATACTTGTACGTACGCATGGTCTAAAGTTTGCGTGGAGAAAAGGACATTCTCACGCCAAGTTCAGTTTTTATAAATGACAACTTTTGCGGGAAAGCTGGCACATGCATGTTTTGGGGTATATTTGTACGTATGCAATGTTTAGAAATGAGGCCCCAGACCATTACCAAGTCTATCTCTCAAGGGTAATCTTGGTCACAACATCATTTGTTTAGAATGTATGTAGTTCTAGAACAGGATGTATGTGAGCCGTGCAGGAAATGTGTTAAATGGTCTATCTGATCATTCCGCTGTTTATAAAATAATGTGGTCATGCAAGTCCATCTACATTTTCCAGTACTGAAACCCCCTCCTGCCTGATCTCTGATTCAGAGGGGTTGGGTTAAATGCGGAAGACACATTTGAGTTGAATGCATTCAGTTGTACAACTGACTAGGTATCCCCCTTTCCCTTTCACATAGCTAGCTCACCCATCTTAACCTCACACGTTGACCTGTCTGACCTCTAACGCCTGACCAATCAGCCCCCAGGGGTGCATAGTTGTGTATCCTGATGTGACCCTCTGCTCTCTCACAGGCTGGGTGGCATCCCTACTGGAGTGGTTGCTGTGGAAACCAGATCAGTGGAGCTGTCAATCCCAGCCGATCCAGCAAACCTGGACTCTGAAGCCAAGGTAAGTTCCTCCTAATATACACTAGCCTGTGTCCCAATACATGTATACCCACATGAACACTCACAGAAACACATGATCACTAGTAACCCTTTATGTCCTGCTCTCAGATCATCCAGCAGGCAGGCCAGGTGTGGTTCCCTGACTCAGCGTTTAAGACGGCGCAGGCCATCAAGGATCTGAACCGCGAGGGCCTCCCTCTCATGGTGTTCGCCAACTGGAGGGGCTTCTCTGGAGGCATGAAAGGTACCAGAGAACGGATGTTTATATATCTGTCAGTTATACCAGTGTCTGTGGGTTTTACATTTACATTTTAGTCATTTAGCAGACGCTCTTATCCAGAGCGACTTACAGTTAGTGAGTGCATACATTTTTCATACTGTTTTCAGTCTCATATCAAATTCCTCTCCTGTGCCTCCGTCAGATATGTATGACCAGGTGCTGAAGTTTGGGGCCTACATCGTGGATGGGCTGAGGGAGTACCGCCAGCCTGTTCTGGTGTACATCCCTCCCCAGGCTGAGCTGAGAGGGGGGTCCTGGGTGGTCATAGACCCCACCATCAACCCCCGCCACATGGAGATGTATGCTGACAAAGACAGTCGGTGAGTTTGACTTCCATCCACTAAGTCACTGTTTAGACGTTCAACTAATTTTGATGTGGTTTGATGTATGCTCAGATCAGTGACGTTAGGATACTATGTAGAGACTGACTTCTTTATAAATCCCTCTCTTCTCTGCTCCACAGTGGTGGAGTGTTGGAGCCAGAGGGGACGGTAGAGATCAAGTTTAGGAAGAAGGACCTGGTGAAGACCATGAGGAGGGTGGACCCTGTCTACTTGGGCCTGGCAGAGAGACTGGGTGAGTCCTAGAGCTTTATTAATACTTTCTCTCCCACTGTATCGCTCTGTGAGGGAGGAATGATAATATCTAGCGGGGCACGTGTGTGTGCGTGCGTGCATCTGCTGTAATTCCCTGTCACTCTTGTTCTTTATCTGAGGATGATTGTATCGTCCCTGCTCTGTTCCCTGGGGAGATGTGTCAATCACGGCAGGGCCAGATCAATCAGCAGGGCCTGCTGTCTCCCTCTCCTCCCCACCTCGCCCCGTCCTCCCACCCAACCCGGCCTATTGATTTTCCTCTGGGCTCACAGGAGCACCATGAAGCCATAGAGCTATGGGCCAGCGCCGGGCCTCTAGGGGCTGTGGTGGGGAGGCTGACCGATTGGCTCTGACAGAAATCAATCTCTGCTGACAGGCAGCACAGCAGCCAGGGATTCTGGATAACACTGAACCACAACAGACAGTGATACTGAGAGCTGAGCTGAGCTGTACGGTCATAAATAACCCATGCTGAGCAAATGGGAGGGAATGTATCTTACCTCTAAACCATTTCTCATAGAACCAATACAATGCTAATGGGACAGTAGCTGCTTACCCCAAACAATCACACTGTCATACAGAACAGATACAGTGATAAAGGAAGTGTATCCCATCCCAAATGCTCACGCTGTCACATTGACATAATGTCCTTGGAATGTTCTCAGTATGCAGCTGGCTTGCATCAGACCTCACTGAATAATATTGGGTTTGTGTTGTAACCCTCCTGGTCATGTCTCCCTCCCCAGGTACCCCAGAGCTGGGCCTGCCAGAGAGGAAGGAGCTGGAGACCAAACTGAAGGAGCGGGAGGAGTTCCTGTTACCCATCTACCACCAGGTGGCCGTGCAGTTCGCAGACCTCCACGACACCCCGGGACGCATGCAGGAGAAGGGCGTCATCACGGTGAGACGACACGGTCACAACATCACGCTGATTCAAACGTGATCAGAACACGGATTGTCAAATCAAATCAAATGTTATTGCTCTCATACACATATTTAGCAGATGTTATTGCAGGTATAGCGAAATGCTTGTGTTCCTCGCTCCAACAGTACTGTAATATCTAACAATACACATAAATCTAAAAGTAATAGAATGGAATTAAGAAATATAAGGCCTCTTTGACGTGTATAGGGGCGTACTCCCTCTGCTGTCTCCTGAAGTCCACGGTCAGCTCCTTCATTTTATTGACATTGAGGGAGAGGTTATTTTCCTGGCACCACTCCGCCAGGGCCCTCACCTCCTCCCTGTAGGCTGTCTCGTCATTGTTGGTAATCAGGCCTACCACTGTTGTGTCGTCAGCAAACTTGATGATTGAGCTGGAGGCGTGCGTGGCCATGCAGTCATGAGTGAACAGGGAGTACAGGGGGGGGTTGAGCACGCACCCTTGTGGGGCCCCTGTGTTGAGGATCAGTGTAGTGGAGGTGTTGTTTCCTACCTTCACCACCTGGGGGCAGCCCATCAGGAAGTCCAGGACCCAGTTGCACAGGGCGGGGTTCAGACCCAGGTCCCCGAGCTTAATGATGAGCTTGGAGGGTACTATGGTGTTGAAGGCTGAGCTGTAGTAAATGAACAGCATTCTTACATAGGTATTCCTCTTGTCCAGATGGGATAGGGCAGTGCAATGGCGATTGTAACAGAACAGTATGGAAATGAAGGTCACAAAAGGCTCCCCCATAGCTATATGTGAAGACATTTTACATTAAAAAGTGTTGTTTTATGGTGTCTCATTCCAATACACACACAACTGTATCTATGCGGTATGTGAGTAACCAAGCCTGTATTACCCACAATGCAGTAGACTGGTGCAGTCGATGACATGCCTAGGGAATATAGTGTTCAGTAGATGCCTAGGGAAAAGAGTGTTCCAATCTCTCTCAGGCTGTGAGACGTGTCTTTATAATTACCTGCTGATGACCCGGCCCATCACCTCAGCAAGCACAGAACAGCCCCAGGCAGGATTCCAAGCTCTCTCCATCACACACACACTCTTGCAACACACGTACGCACAATGGGTTCATGAGAGGAAGGCTGCTAGGGCATTTCTGTAACTGAAGTATTTCTATAATAGATGACAATCTCAGTTGCTCTCAAGATGCCTGTAAATGCAACAGCACAATTATCTGTGATAGATTCCTGCAAATGCAACCGCACAAGAATCTGATTGACAGACACACAGGTGCTCAGTAGAATACCAAGGACAGATGACTTCTAGTGTCTGGAGAGCCTCCTGCACTCATAAGTCATCATATCATGATATACAAAGATATTTTCTTCCGTTCTTATGTAAATTGAGTAATGTCAGAAATGAAAAAGATATTTGGGGGCAATAATTACACAATATTAGATTATATTTAAATTTTCTAATATCAGTCAGCCAGTATGGCTTGTCAGTGAGATATCTAATCTCTGAAGCTCTGCTGTGTGTGTGGTTTCCCAGGACATCCTGGAGTGGCGGACATCACGTCACTTCTTCTACTGGCGTCTGAGGCGTCTGCTGCTGGAGGACACAGTCAAGATGAAGATCCAGGTGGCCAACAGCGAGCTGACCGATGGACAGATCCAGGCCATGCTGAGACGCTGGTTCGTAGAGGCTGAGGGGACCGTCAAGGTGACTGTCCATTACCTGCTCCTCTACTTTCCTCAAACCAGCCCACCACAGCACAAAGACACTGACGGTCACTGTCAGCTAGAGGCTGCAGATTATACATCTATACCTTCCTTCAGTCTGGTTTTAGTAATTTAAAAATATATATACATTCTGATCAGTTCAATTTCAAAACAGGAGTTGTGGTGTCTCGGTTATGGCTAGGTAGAATGAACTAGAGGTGATGCTGATAGAATAGATGTCCCTCAGCCCAGACTGCTGCCTTTCAGGGGTGACTAGAAAAAGCCCAGCTCCTGAGGTAGACTGAGAGTATCTCTTTAGAAGCGGTCGTCTTGTTAGCTAATACATTACCCCAATCAGGGCCGGCTATCTTAAGCTACAATTAATCTGAGCCCTGGCACGTGCAGATAGGAGAGGGACTCGCTGTTTCTTAATTAAAAGCAAACGGATTAAAAATGATTAATAAGGGCATTAAATGTTCTTGCGGACTACAAGCAGGAGGGCTCTTAAAACAGCGTGAGGCCATTACCGCCCTCCCAATCTGCCTAAGCCCCCGTCTGCCTTTGTTTGGGATCAGAGACTGGCTGCACTCATGAATATGGATTTCTCAATCAGGTCCAGTCAAAAAGGCATCAGGGGCCTACTTTGTAGCTCTCGCACTTTCACTTCTGATAGGAAAATGTGGGTTTTTGTGTGGGTTTTTTCCCCCACTTTCTTGACTTGCTCGTTCAAACAAGCAAGGTTATGAGAAAATGATTGTAGTACTCTCCTGCTCGAAACAAACATGGGGTCAGACGTGGGTGAAATTTGAAATACAGGTGTTTTCCCACTGATATGGATAAACGTTAGGCCCAAAAAAAGAATCTGTCACTGAGAAGTTGGAGTAAATCTTCCTCTATTCTCTCTCTGTGTGTGTGTAGGCGTATCTGTGGGACAGCAATGAGGAGGTAGTGGAGTGGCTGGAGAAGCAGCTGAAGGAGGAGGAGGGGGCCAGGTCTGTCATCGACGAGAACATCAAGTACATCCGCAGGGACCACATCCTCAAGCAGATCCGCAGGTGAGACAGACAGCCTTTTTAATAGGCATATCCAACCTGATCTCAAAGTTTCACTTCGGGATTTGACGTAATTGAATGAAAGTTGATTTTTGACCCATTCATTCTGTTAAGTTTAGGTATTATTCAGAGTGGTTAGGCCTACGCTTTAGGGAAAGCATAAAACAAAATGTTTTTTTTTTTTAAATGCGCTGTTTCCATTTAGTATCATCAAGTACTCTCCCTGCTTGCTAGAAAATTGTGAACTGCCTTGGCACAGTGGTCTAAGCAGCACACTCTAGCTCTGAGCATCGTGAGTATGAGCCCAATGCTGTGCCATTGTTTTGTTTTTGGTGAGCACCGAGGACGGCATATCAACGTTCTCAGGACCTTTTCAAACGGGTGAAATCGACGTGTGTTTCTAGTGAACAGCCTGCCATGTCACTGGGAACCTACCAGCCTTGAGATGGCCGGTAGAAGTCAGCTCAAAGCCTTGTATAGTACCATCTGTTTATGCAGTGGGATATTTCCTGGGGTCAGGAAAGTGCAATGTCACTGATTTGCACAGAATCTATTTTATTCCATGTAACCCTTTGTTTACCTGGCTGTGCATCTCCTTAGTCTCACTCAGGTTCTCTTCTCTCCTTAGCCTGGTCCAAGCAAACCCTGAGGTTGCCATGGATTCCATTGTGCACATGACGCAGCACATCTCCCCTACACAGCGTGCTGAGGTGGTCCGCATCCTGTCCACCATGGATGCTGCCCCGGCCACCACCTAGAGGGCCTCTCCTCTCCTCTCCCCAGACTGGCCCCACTCTCTTAGGTGCACTGCACCTGTGGAGGAACTGTGCCGGAAACTGGGGCAGGAGGAGCCAGCATGGCAGCCCAAGGAGGCTGTGCTGTTACTGATGAAACTGTTGGCAATGATTCTGGAGGGAGGGGGGAGGGCTGAAACACAGGGTAATGCATTTATTTACATGTCTGATGTCCAGGGTAATGCATTCACATGTCTTACAGAATGTGTTAGTTGTGATATATCTATGTGCAAAAATGATAGACAAAGCCAAGACCAGAAACTATATACTGTATAACTAACATGAATGAGGGCAAGCTTGGGGACCGCACAATTGGCCAAGGTGGAAGCAGCTCTTCATTTGCGATCATAACGAGCCTCTGTCCTATTGGACAGGAAAACATGCATTGGGTGTTCGGAGTGTTTTGATGGCGATCTTGACAAAATTGCAGCAGATTGCTGGGAGGGTTCACGAGGGTGGGGGGTTAGCACACCTTTGCACAGAGCACTTAATTACTGATAAAACCCAGGGTAGGGAGTGGAGCGTGGCATTGTGATGGGGATAGCGGGTCGCTCTGCCCTGGGCCTGGAGAGAAGAGCCCAGCAGGAGGCAGGAAGAGGGATCTATTCAGACCCAACCACCCCACACTGGCCCTGGGGTGAGCTATGGGCAGGCAGGCAGGCACACCCGCTGATGCAGATAGAATAGCAGCTGTCACCTCTCTCACACTGCTCTGAATGCACCTTACTGTTCTATTACTTACATAAGGCTTCAGTTCAGCACAGCTTGCTCTATATTATACTAAAAGACTGACACAAGCAAACACTATTAATGGTAATTGGTGCCATAACGGTTGAGAATTATGTTTTTTCCTCCCATGGGGTATATTTTTGCCAATTATTGTGTAAGAAAATATATTAAACATTTAGGTGACTAATTTATTAAATGGCAATCATGTTAAAGAGAACTAGGTGGTGTACACTGGAATTATAAATTCAGTATTACAAAAGGTGTGCTTCTAAAATGTTCTGTTAATTTTAGTTAATTATGTTGAAGTTACTTTTAAATTGTGACGTTCTTTACATGAAACGTCTTCATTCCTTTCAATATTGACTTTCCAAAGAGTAAATGGGTCGTCACTAGTTAGCACAGCCAAAAAGTCATTATGGCTAAACCCTGCCTATTTTAAAAAGTTTTAACCACATGCCTAACCTTAAACGAAGACCAAAAAGATAACGTGTGTCATACATTTTTACAATATAGCCCATTTTGACTTTGTGGCAACTAGTGACAGAGAAAATGATAGTATTGTGTAAACTTGGTTACGCTCATTGAGGAACAGGGATGGATCCAGGATACTGTAGTCTCTTTATGGCAAAGTGATGGCGGCCTAGCTGCTGGAGAGCCTCAGAAATGTAACATAATACTTGATTCAATGTAAGGGGAAAAAATGTATTTTGCCTAGCTGAAAGAGGCAAGAATTGGCAATGTAGGATGACTTCATGCACAGTGCTAATCTTAAATTCTATTTGTCTAATATTGCTGGTAGTCCTGTTACTAACGAGGTGATTTGCTGTTTGTCTGAATGAGGAAGGTGAATGTGTTTACTGTAGTGAACTCGATTTACCTCAGTTCAAATGTAATAAAGTAAACTTAACTTACCTGGTTTGACAGATTTGTTTAGCTTTTTCAAGCGGATTGAGTTGGCCTATCTTTTCAAACTCAACTGGAGTCAAACATTGCATTAATATCGACATTATTACAAAATTATTTACCATTAAATGGATCATCCTGATTATCACACCATCATTTTTCAGTAATTCTGCCAAATGCAGTGTAAGAAAAGTATCATACTTGGGGAGAGGCATTTTCTGAAATGATATTCTCTTCTCATGCATCAACCCACAGATGATCAAAGTGGCATTCTTTTTTTTTCAAACTTCAACAGTCTTAAAAGGGATGAGACAGATCAAACAAATAGTGAGGGATCCATCTCATCCCTTTTGTTTTTTTTCCTGTCTCACTTTCATATCGTCCCCTTGGCTCCGTCAACTCTATTACCATCCTACCAACAAATATGTAAGACAAATTGAGTTGCATACACCCAATACCCATCACAATTATGGGAGGCCCAATAAGAAAATGAGTCATTTGGTGGTATAATTGGAAATGCGCCTTGCCTGGTTTCTCCAGTCTCCCAGAGGGCTTTGCTCATTTGTGGAGGCACGCTAGGCTGGCTAATTCCAGCGCTAATCACTGACAAACTGCAGCATCAGGCCCTTCCTACTCCTTCTGGAGCGGAGAGAACAAGATTGTTCCGAGAAAGTTACGAGGAATTGCTTTATGCTAGGTTTGGCATGGCTGCTTGTTAGGTAGTTTTTTCCCCCATAAGTAAAAAAACAAACCCCACTACAATAAAATACATTTAATCACCAACAAACTCTGCTTTTGTTAATTTCCCTCCATCGGTCAGCAGGCATAAATCACCCTGGTATTTATTCACAGAAAGAGACATTAAAAGGAGATAATAAAAACAAGTTGGCAAAAATGTAGTTTTTCCTGACAGTATCAACATTAGTAGAAACAGTCTCTTCAAGCAAAGTCCAAACCAGTCAGGTCCAGTCTGAACTAACTTCTAGACTGATACTGTTCATAAGCCTTTAGAGAGGAGCAGGGCTGGATCAGAGGAAGAGGTATATGGTGTTTATCTCCTGGGTGGTTCTGCCTTCTGTGCTGTCCATCTTTCCTGCTAGCTAAGAGCATGTCACTCCCGCACCACACTTTCAGCAAACGAGTTCTTCCCGAATAGTGAGCGATACAACTCAGTCCTACACCAACAGGAAAAATATAAAAGTTAACACTTTTTTTTTTTCAAGAACAAAAATCATTAGTATTAGCAAAAGTATTATCAAAACTGGCAGTCGCCAACACTGAACATTTGAATGTGACAGAAGAAGAAATCAGTAGGTGAGAGAAGGATGAAGAGGTCTCAATGATGCATCGGGAGCAGGAATAATTCCACATTCATGCGTCTCGACGACACTTGAGAGACAATGCCAGTGACCCAGTTGCAGGATTCCAATTAGGGGGGTATATGCAACAGTCCAGATGAGAGGAACGACAAAGAGGGGTCTTTATGAAGCCCAGGGCCTTCTGATTACTGCCTGAACACAAGTGCCTGTCACTCTGTGGCTGGCCTGCCGATGACAAAGAGCAGACAAACACAGCCAGGCAGAGATGGAATCAGAGGCCCCAGCTGCTCTCCAGCTCTCTGGGCTGGACTGCCTTTCTGGAGACTCATCTCCCCTAACCAGCTCAGTCATTTCAATCAGTCAAATGTTCCAGTCAAAGTGGCTCTACTCAGACAGACAGACAGATAAATACGGCCTAATTTTGAGACGGGCTGGTTTAGTTTGTGTCCGACTATCTGCACATACATTTATTTTCTACATCCATAAAACATGTTCAGCGTATACATGCAAATGTGAAGCCTGTGTGTCTGTGCATTATGAAACAGACACTAGATGGCAGTATGTGATGTCACCAGAAGTGACATGTCTTAGTTAATTGTGTTGAGTTTATTCGAGTCAAGGGCGTCAGTTGGTCTAGTCAGAGTGCAGCCAGTCATGTTAAGACTGCTTGTGGGTCCACTTCAATGGGACAGGGCAAAGGGCTAACTATAGGTAGCCTAGAGTCCCTGAGACATCACTGCAGAACATGAACAGACAACCATCGCTCCCACACTGCACTGCTCTGCTCTGTTTACTGCGGTGGACAACCATACAGATTAAAATCTGTTACAAAACTGTGTCCACTACAGCATAACCAGTCAGTGCAGGCTCCTGTGTAATGTGTTGAGTTAAAGAGGGGCCTTGTGTTGCTCTCAGGGGGCAGGCAGCCTGTAGCCAGCCACAGGAGGGACTTAATCCCCAATCCCCATTTGAAATGCACCACCAGGGTCAAGGATTACAATACACTCTGATCATCACCACGTAATGTATACATTCTCATTCTGCCTGAGCTCGGTAAACATCAGCTGGGGAATACTGAGGAGCAGTGGGATGATGGGGGGAGGAGAGGCACAGAACCCAGGCTGATGTAGGACTGACTGTGTGCGCAATGGAGAGAAGACAAGAGACAAGGAACAGGGGAGCTGAAGTGTGTTGAAGGTGCAGCCTGCCTCAAATTGCATATCCTATATGTCACATGCCGATGCAGAAATGTGCCATGATGAGTGTCTAAATACCTTCTAGAGGACTTAAATGTGCACAATGTGCATGTAATGTATGTGTGTTGGCCCTCTCTGTGCCAGCCCTTCCCCCCCCGACATTAACATTCATGGAGCCAGTGGAGCATGGCGGGCTGCATCCGTAAAGCCAGCACATCGGTGAGATATGGCGGTGGAGGAGAGCCAGGAGAGAGGGAGGAGGGGACGGGAGGTATAGAGGGTGAGGGGGACTGTGCCAGGGCATTCATTCCCAAAGGTCAGCCAGTGTGGCTCTCTGGGAAAGGTCAACGGCCAGCCTGATGCAACGGCCATACATCACCATTATTACTGTAGGCCATTGATTGCTATGGAAATGAGGTGGGACGTACACACGGCAGGGCTGGGGAAGGTCAGCCCATTGTGCAGTCATTACCGTGTTTAGAATGCCTGTCATCTCAGTGAACACAACACACAGCCTCAGCTACTCTACCTGCAGTATGTACTGGAGGACAGATAAGGAGGAGAGGCAGAGGACGTGCCTAGCCATTTACTGTCCCCTCTGTCTCAGGTGTGTGCTGAGAATCAATATGGGCCCACTGTGGAAACTGCAACACTCATTCTATGGCCTTTGTAAACTCACATATAATAGGACAAATCAGCAGACTATACATTACAACTAAAGAACCTGTTCATCTAATTTAGAAATCAAACCAACCAACTACAGAAGGTGGCAGAAAATACTACAAAGGGAACAATGCGGGTGTGAGCGCAGACAAGCAACGCAGGACACAGGGATTTATGAGAGGGTAGCCGTCCTGAGGACAGTCATTTCAGGTATGTGAGATTACAGTGAGTGAGTCAGATGTATGGCTGTGACAGGAGAACACTGAGATCTGTGACTAACAGCCCCAAGATAAAGGAGGTGGTGATAGGTTGAAGAACAGGTCAATATTGGCATGCCAGTGGTGAAGTGCGCTGCCTTTACCCCTGTAACGCGTCAACAATAAGGTGCTCACCGTGCGTCGTCATTCATGGAGCTGTGGTCGATGGGGGCCATGAAGTTCACCAACTTACTGTGGATGTGGAACCTAGACAGACACACACACGCGCATACACGCACACCATCAGAAATAGGGAACACACACACATTCAATTATGTAGTGTGCGTAACTGTGGTTTGTCCATTAATAAATGTGAGTGTGTGGGAGTGTTTGAGTCCATTTGTTTGTGCTGTGTGTAGAAGATAAACCGGGAGAAAAACAATGGGTACAAAAGGCCCCAAATAAAAGGCTGACCTTTCCACTTGGAATAAATGGAGAAAACAAATGCTGTAATTGCAATTTTTCCACTGGCAAATAGTTTTATATGTATAAATACAAATTATCAATTTGAGTCCTCAAATATTTAATCAGGCCACATAGAAATGTAATTTACATTAACAGAGGGGGATGTTTTCTATCAAAAGATAATTGAAATAACTGAAAGGACTATAGATAAACTGGCATTTAAACCAGCATCGGAGGAACTGAAATGTATTAAGTATTTTCATAAATTCTGTCATTAGAGCCTCCCTGGACAGAGAAATAAAGAGCTTGTTCTGCAGTGGATGTTAAAAACAGACCTAATACTCCTAACTGACATAAATGGAACAAGACGTACAGGGAAACAATGGTACTACATTATTCTGAGAGTTTGAATGTGGAGAAAAGGAAATATTCTAGTGAACCTGTATTTCTTCACTATTTCTCTGTTCCCTCCACTCACCTGACTTTGCGGCCCTTGCTGGCCTTGGTGTCCACTTTCTTCTTGATCTTACTGCGGAGCTTCTGAATGGCTAGCCATTGTCTGGAAGAGTAGGAGAGGAGAGGATGTGAGGGCCCCTACCAGAAAAAGCCTAGAGGGGTAACAACACATCCTAGCACCACAGACACACACACACATGCACACACACACACACACACACACACACACACACATCACTCACCTGCCCATAGCCACCTGGTCGTTGGGGTCTGCAGCACTTGTCTTGCGTTCAATAAGCTCTCGCAGAAGCTGAGATGAACAGAGTAAGAGGAGAGGAGGGAAAGAGCGCAAAAGGGGAGACTTAGTTTGGTGTTTCGAAACAGTATTTAGTTTCATATGAGTGTGTAGACATCTTTATAACCCCCCGTTCATTCATCAGAGAACAGAGCTCTCCCTCTCTGTCCCTCCAGCAAATCCATTCACTTAATCTGAACCTCTTCATCAGTGTCAGCCCATCAGCCAATCCCAGGACCCTGGGCCCAGACCACCCTGGCTCTGCCAGAATGAACCACTGCTGAGCATCAGCCTCGGTTAACAGAGCAACACCATGCCAGGACCCCAGAGCATCATCATCACTGGACCTCACAGTACAACATCCTAATGAGCTGTACTGGAGAGGACAGCTCTCATTCATCATACAGTCACACAATCCACAGTCCCTTAGTACAGGCAGAGGTTCCAATACTCATCCATGTTCCTTTGAGTTTCCCCCAGAGATAGTAACGCCTTGTCTTGACCATTTTGTTTAAAATCAGCCACCATGCAGCCCTCTCCCTGACCCCAATCAGGAGAGAGAGAATCTTCATTAATGTCCCTAATTAACCCCCCTGGCTCTCCTCTCCCTATATGGGGCTCTGTATTTCTGTATGTGCTCGCTTTCTGTATGGCCAGCTTCAAGGCCCTGAGACAGGGGAAGATACAGAGAGAATGGGTCCTACCGAGAGGTCACAAACACAGTCATTAGCCACACATATAATACATTCTGAGTGTACAAAATAACACCTGCCATTTCCATGACAGACTGACCAGGTGAAAGCTATGATCCCTTATTGATGTCACTTGTTAAATCCACCACAATCAGTGTAGATGGGGAGGAGACAGGTAAAAATATATATTTTTAAGCTTTGAGACAATTGAGACATGGATTGTGTATGTGTGCCATTCAGAGGGTGAATGGGCAAGACAAAAGATTGAAGTACCTTTGAACGGGGCATGTTAGTATGCGCCACGCACAGCAGTTTGTGTCAAGAACTGCATCACTGCTGGGTTTTTCACGCTCAACAGTTTCCTGTGTGTATCAAGAATGGTCCACCACCCAAAGGACATCCAGCCAACTTGACACAACTGTGGGAAGTTTTGGAGTCAACATGGGCCTGCATCCCTGTGGAACGCTTTCGACACCTTGTAGAGTCCATGCCCTGATGAACTGAGGCTGTTCTGAGGGCAAAAGCGGGTGCAACTCAATATGTTCCTAATGTTTTGTAAAATCACCCCCTCCCTCATTCAAGGGTTTGTCTTTATTTTATTTTTGAAGACCTCAAAATTATGAAATAGCACATATGGAACCAGAAAAGTGTTAAACAAATCAAAATACATTTTATATTTGAGATTCTTCAAATAGCCACCCTTTGCCTTGATGACAGCTTTGCACACTCTTGGCATTCTCTCAACCAGCTTCATGAGGTAGTCACCTGGAATGCATTTAAATTAACAGGTGTGCCTCCTTAACAGTTAATTTGTGGAATTTCTTTCCTTCTTAATGCGTTTGAGCCAATCAGTTGTGTTGTGAGAAGGTAGGGGGGTATACAGAAGATAGCCCTATTTGGTAAAAGAACAAGTCCATATTATGGCAAGAACAGCTCAAATAAGCAAAGAGAAACGACAGTCCATCATTACTTTAAGACATGAAGGTCAGTCAATATGGAACATTTCAAGAACTTTGAAAGTTTCTTCAAGTGCAGTCGCAAAAACCATCAAGCGCTATGATGAAACTGGCTCTCATGAGGACCGCCACAGGAACGGAAGACCCAGAGTTACCTCTGCTGCAGAGGATAAGTTCATTTGAGTTACCAGCCTCAGAAATTGCAGTCCAAATAAATGCTTCACAGAGTTCAAGTAACAGATACATCTCAACATCAACTGTTCAGAGGGGACTGTGTGATTCAGGCCTTCTTGGTTGAATTGCTGCAAAGAAATCACTATTAAAGGACACCAATAAGAAGAAGAGACCTGCTTGGGCCAAGAAACACGAGCAATGGACATTAGACTGGTGGAAATGTGTCCTTTGGTCTGGAGTCCAAATTGGAGCTGTGTCTTTGTGAGACGCAGTGTGGGTGAACGGATGATCTCCGCATGTGTATTTCCAACCGTAAAGCATAGAGGAGGAGGTGTCATAATGTGGGGGTGCTTTGCTGGTGACACTGTCTGTGATTTATTTAGAATTGAAGGCACACTTAACCAGCATGGCTACCACAGGATTCTGCAGCGATACGCCATCCCATCTGGTTTGCGCTTAGTGGGACTATCATTTGTTTTTCAAAAGGACAATGACCCAACACACCTCCAGGCTGTGTAAGGGCTATTTTACCAAGAAAGAAGGAGAGTGATGGAGTGCTAAATCAGATGACCTGGCCTCTGCAATCCCCCGACCTCAACCCAATTGAGATGGTTTGGGATGAGTCGGACGGCAGAGTGAAGGAAAAGCAGCCATCAAGTGCTCAGCATATATGGGAACTCCTTCAAGACTGTTGGAAAAGCAGTGTTTAACACTTTTTTGGTTACTACATGATTTCATGTGTGTTAATTCATAGTTTTGATGTCTTCACTATTATTCTACAATGTAAAACATAGTAAAAATTAAGAAACACCCTTGAGTAGGTGTGTCCAAACTTTTGACTGGTACTGTATATACATACACACAGTTGAAGTCAGAAGTTTACATACACCTTAGCCAAATACATTTAAACTCAGTTTTTCACAATGCCTGACATTTAATCCTAGTATACATTCCCTGTCTTAGGTCAGTTAGGATCACCACTTTATTTTAAGAATGTGAAATGTCAGAATAATAGCAGAGAGAATGATTTATTTCAGCTTTTATTTATTTCATCACATTCCCAGTGGGTCAGAAGTTTACATACACTCAATTAGTATTTGGCAGCATTTCCTTTAAATTGTTTAACTTGGGTCAAACGTGTCGGGTAGCCTTCCACAAGCTTCCCACAATAAATTGGGTAAATTTTGGCCCATTCCTCCTGACACAGCTGGTGTAACTGAGTCAGGTTTGTAGGCCTCCTTGCTCGCACACGCCTTTTCAGTTCTGCCCACACATTTTCTATAGGATTGAGGTCAGGGCTTCGTGATGGCCACTCCAATACCTTGACTTTGTTGTCCTTAAGCCATTTTGCCACAACTTTGGAAGTATTCTTGGGGTCATTGTCCATTTGGAAGACCTATTTGCGACCAAGCTTTAACTTCCTGACTGATGTCTTGAGATGTTGCTTCAATATATCCACAATTTTCCTTCCTCATGATGCCATCTATTTTGTGAAGTGCACCAGTCCCTCCCTGCAGCAAAGCACTCCTACGGCATGTTGCTGCTACCCCCGTTGTTCACGGTTGGGATGGTGTTCTTCAGCTTGCAAGCGTCCCCCTTTTTTTCCTCCAAACATAATGATGGTCATTATGGCCAAACAGTTCTATTTTTGTTTCATCAGACCAGATTATATTTCTCCAAAAAGTACGATCTTTGTCCCCATGTGCAGCTGCAAACTGTAGTCTGGCTTTTTTGTGGCGGTTTTGGAGCAGTGGCTTCTCCTTGCTGAGCGGCCTTTCAGGTTATGTCAATATAGGACTCGTTTTACTGTGGATATAGATACTTTTGTACCTGTTTCCTTCAGCATCTTCACAACGTCATTTGCTGTTGTTCTGGGATTGATTTACACTTTTCGCACCAATGAGTGGAGTGGTTGAAATACAAGTTTTAATGACTCCAACCTAAGTGTATGTAAACTTCCGACTTCAACTGTATATATACAGTGGGGAGAACAAGTATTTGATACACTGCCGATTTTCCTACTTACAAAGCATGTAGAGGTCTGTAATTTTTATCATAGGTACACTTCAACTGTGAGAGACGGAATCTAAAACAAAAATCCAGAAAATCACATTGTATGATTTTTAAGTAATTAATTTGCATTTGATTGCATGACATAAGTATTTGATACATCAGAAAAGCAGTACTTCATATTTGGTACAGAAACCTTTGTTTGCAATTACAGAGATCATACGTTTCCTGTAGGTCTTGACCAGGTTTGCACACACTGCAGCAGGGATTTTGGCCCACTCCTCCATACAGACCTTCTCCAGATCCTTCAGGTTTCGGGGCTGTCGCTGGGCAATACGGACTTTCAGCTCCCTCCAAATATTTTCTATTGGGTTCAGGTCTGGAGACTGGCTAGGCCACTCCAGGACCTTGAGATGCTTCTTACGGAGCCACTCCTTAGTTGCCCTGGCTGTGTGTTTCGGGTCGTTGTCATGCTGGAAGACCCTGCCACGACCCATCTTCAATGCTCTTACTGAGGGAAGGAGGTTGTTGGCCAAGATCTCGCGATACATGGCCCCATCCATCCTCCCCTCAATACGGTGCAGTCGTCCTGTCCCCTTTTCAGGAAAGCATCCCCAAAGAATGATGTTTCCACCTCCATGCTTCACGGTTGGGATGGTGTTCTTGGGGTTGTACTCATCCTTCTTCTTCCTCCAAACACGGTGAGTGTTTAGACCAAAAAGCTCCATTTTGGTCTCATCTGACCACAACACTTTCACCCAGTTCTCCCCTGAATCATTCAGATGTTCATTGGCAAACTTCAGACGGCCCTGTATATGTGCTTTCTTGAGCAGGGAGACTTTGCGGGCGCTGCAGGATTTCAGTCCTTCACGGCGTAGTGTGTTACCAATTGTTTTCTTGGTGACTATGGTCCCAGCTGCCTTGAGATCATTGACAAGACCCTCCCGTGTAGTTCTGGGCTGATTCCTCACCGTTCTCATGATCATTGCAACTCCACGAGGTGAGATCTTGCATGGAGCCCCAGGCCGAGGGAGATTGACAGTTATTTAGTGTTTCGCACCAACTGTTGTCACCTTCTCACCAAGCTGCTTGGCGATGGTCTTGTATCCCATTCCAGCCTTGTGTAGGTCTACAATCTAGTCCCTGACATCCTTGGAGAGCTCTTTGGTCTTGGCCATAGTGGAGAGTTTAGAATCTGATTGATTGATTGCTTCTGTGGACAGGTGTCTTTTATACAGTTAACAAGCTGAGATTAGGAGCACTCCCTTTAAGAGTGTGCTCCTAATCTCAGCTCGTTACCTGTATAAAAGACACCTGGGAGCCAGAAATCTGTCTGAGAGGGGTTCAAATACTTATTTCCCTCATTAAAATGCAAATCAATTTATAACATTTTTGACATGCGTTTTTCTGGATTGTTTTGTTGTTATTCTGTCTCTCACTGTTCAAATAAACCTACCATTAAAATTATAGACTGATCATTTCTTTGTCAGTGGGCAAACTTACAAAATCAGCAAATACGTGTTCTCCCCACTGTATATGTATATATATATATATATATATATTTTTTTTTTTGGTTTGTTTGTTTGTTTCCTCATCCTTGGTTAGAACGTAGGTTAGGAATCTGCATATCTTGCAGTTCCTTAGTGAATGTAACTGTTAAAGCTCCATTGGCGCTACATAATGTTTCTAATCCAGTGTGAGTGATTGCTATGTTCACAGACATGGTTAATGACCACGCCTCAGTTGTACTGAGCAGTGTGGAGAGTCCTTATACAGGAGTCAGCGTCACACAGACAGACACACACAATGGTGATTTATGGCATGCACAGAGTTGCTGACAAAAAATGTTTAGGTGAATGCAAACATGAGTCCAGCTCCAGCCTGCTGTGAGAGGTTAACCACATTAGAATGCATGTATTACAGGAGCATTACTGGAGCATGGAGGGCTAAGTCCCACAGGGAACGGCTCTGAGCTGCACTTCCGGAGCCTTCAGACTGGGGGAGACTGAGCGGACGGGACGGTGTCCTCTGAAGGACAAACTACAATAACAAGGGCAGTCCTGGTGCTTCACCCCACACAACGTAGTGCCATCCAATAGCTTGGAGTATCGTGGCAAGCCAGACTCACAACACCATGTGTAGAGAGGGGTACTTTACCAAGATCAAAGCAGGTCTAATTTCTGACGCTGCCTGTCTCTTGTGCAATATTCTCTGTCCACTTTAATAAGAAAATAAAACGTTTTAGGAATGGTTCAGTCCTTGTGAGTGTTGGAGAATGTTTCATGCTGTAGGGCTGACATTTACCTGGTGATAGAAATCATCATCATCAAAGATCTCCTCGTCCAGGTCTTTCAGATGTGTATTGGCTTTCAGCACCTGCTCTGTCCCCTAAGAGAGAAACAGAGGAGATAGGAGAGAGAGAAGGGATGAGAGCGAGAGGGAGGAAGGGTGAGAGCCAGTGAGAGAGAAAGCTCTCTGTCATGTAGCGGTGTGCAGGAGGTAAAGCCATAAACTCCAGATGTAACACCCCAGATAAACAGCCTGCTCTCCAGATAAAGTGACACCTATGGAGGAGGGAGAGGGATGTCCCTAATCTAAAACTGCTGAAACAACCACTCTCTCTCCCGTAATGTATTAACCAACCTGCAAATGCTCCTTGCTTTGAATCATTTTGGGCCGCGACACTGCTTATATTTCAGGTTAGTATAGTTCAGTTGCTGGCTAGATTCAATTAAGATACAGAGATAAATGTATCTCACTCAGTTAACGCTGTAACAGCTTAATACAATTAGCTGGAAGAAATCTGACTGAGGAGGGGGGTATCATGGTGACAGCCTCCACCAACCAGAGCAGCAACCTTAACTATAGAGCTTCTTGTACAGTTAACTTAAGGGGGATGTGAGTTCTCGCTAGTATGGATACTAGCAGTCAAAAGGAGGACACTTGGCTACATACACTATCTGTCTGCCTTCGCAACATGTTACCTATACTACATAACCCTCTCTCCTCCCCTCCAGTCTCACCTCTCCCTCTGCAGTGGTGGTGTCATGTACAGGGGCTGTGGCCTCTAGCTTGCCCAGGACTCTGTACTCGGAGCGTCTGGTCTGGGTGCGTCTCAGCAGCCTCTCCTTGTCCATTAGCACCTGTTCCACCTGGGTCAGGATGTTTCTGTCAAACGCCCCAAAACCCTGAGAGAAGAGATAAAGAACAGTCAGAAACAAGACCTTAACTTAGTTACAGCATCACTACTCTGTATATAACATTTAAGAGCATTAGATTATTCCAATTGCAGTATGTCTAGTGAAAACACCGAAACAATTAAGAAAAAACGTACAATATGAAGTCCGGTTTTGAATTGGCATGTTAGCCCTTGGTTTATGAGAGCTATGAAATTTGAGTGCTGAAGTGTGCTTAAGGGATGGATGGTGCCATTATGCACAGTGCATGCAGATGGAGAACGCACACACTGCAGTGCAGACTGGTTAGGTGCTAAGAGCGAAGCTCTGTGCAGCTGGGGCATGTGGACGTGTGTCCTTGCTTGGTGCAGATGAGTGTGGGGTGGGGGGACCTTGCTGCTCTTTCCCATGGTCAGCCGGGTCTTGTCGTGCCATTTCTGCAGCGTGGCATCGCGGTACGGCTGGAAGGCAGCGAAGCGCTTGGCCATGAAGTCTGGGTACTCTGCCATCTCCAGCTTCCGTTTGGGAGGACCTGTCTCCACAGCCGGTTCCACTGCTTCCTTCATTTCCTCTTCCTCATCACTGTGAATCTCCTCATCACTATATTATGGATACAGAACAACAAAATAATACTCAACCCTCAATTCTAAAGCCATAAGTAGGTTGAATTCCAGGGCATTTCAGAGAAATATTGCATCCTATTCATGTTAATCAGGAGTGTGTTTCATATAGCAGAGCACTACATGTGCTGTCTGTGGGTGTGGGGTGTGGAGGAGAGGCAGTGCTGACCTGTGTGCTCCCCAGGTGTTGCCCAGGGAGATGGGCCTGGTGTCTGGGTTCTGATGGAGCAGCTGGTCCTGTAGGTCCAGTAGAGACCTCTGGAGAGCCTTCAGGGCTTTGTGACCTTACAGAACACCATAGAGAGAACATCATGTCAGGACCTAATATACTAACAGAGAGATATGGGAACCAAGAGGGTAGAGAGAGGCAAACATGTTATGAACATAGGGTTGTCTGAAGTAAAGTTTACATTGGTCTTTGTCAAACTCTGAAATGACGATTAGTTAATATAATTTAAAATATATATATGAATTAGGGGGAGTATGAGTTTAACTGTTTAAGTAAATTCCTCAATATTAGCCAAAAATAATAATACACTGAAGTTATGCCACATAACAATAGAAAATATGCCTCATAACTTCACTTGTCCAACAAATCTACAGCAAGTATTGCCCCCAAGCATGACTGATTAAAATCTTTTGGAGCAGATCCGCCTTGGCTTTTGTTAGTCCACATCTTGTCAACATCCACTAAAACAAATTCTCGAGACTTTGCCCTCCAAATCACATGGCGTAGGAAAAGAAAGGAGGTGGGGAACACTTATGATTCTGTCCTCTTCAACTTTAATCAAAAGTGCACTGGCACGCTGGAGCCCCCTCCCTCCCTTTCATAATAATGGGCCGCTAAAAATTCAGGAGGCAGGATCCACATCAATCACTCGCCAGATTTGAGTCCAATGCAATAAATATGTAAATGAGGAGAAGCCAGTGTCTCGTAGCTTTGAGATCAGCACGAGGAGAAAAAAAATGGAAAAACTGTATTAATTGCCCATGGCCAGAGGAATCCTATTACTGTGGGCATTGATTATAAAATTGTATGAGTGATTTTCATGAGGGAGGTAGACTACCACCACGCCTTGAACAAGAAATAGTATTAGAAGAATCAAGCCAAATCGGTCAGGTTTAAACAATAATGAGAGAAAGGCAAACTAGCGTTTCACATATGATTCCACTGTGGAAACGAGAAGGATTAATATATTTCTTATAACAAAAGTGTGGAACTGTTATTTTGTTATAACAATCTTCTTGTAGAAATGTTCTTACGGACAGCCTAGCCTACTTCTAGACAAATAGTTAGAATTATTTTCTACCCACTAAATACTAAAACCATAACACTAGCACCAACCCTGTCCATTATGATTAAAAATTCATGTTTCAAATGCCATTGCATTTAAAGTAACTTATTTTACGCACTCATGATCATTGCATATGCAGGGAAGCAATACACATCTTCTAAATTGTGTCTGGGAGAGAAGATGTCTAGACAAAACATTCAGTATTATGACCACATCATTTACTGGATTGTAAACTTTGTTTGTAATGCTTGTTATTGTCCTTTTCTATTTCCTTTTTATTCAATTTCCCTCTGGGGAACAATAAAGTTAAATTCATTTCATATTCTTGATAGCTGTAAAATAAAATGTAATGTTTAAAATACAAGCAGAAACAAAGCACTCACTATTCTTCAATGCTCCAGCAAACTCTGCTCCGCCCCTCTTCTTGAACTCTGGGAAGGTATGTGGTTGTGGCAGCTTATTGGCTGTCAGAAGAGCTTTCTGCATTTTAATTCGCCCCTCAAGTAGCTGGTCCCAAAGAGCTGTGGAGATTCAATCAAACAAATGACATGGTTGTCTACTGAGAAAAATAGGTGATAAAATGTGCTTAAAGGTATAGTTTGTGATTTTGCCAATTGTATCTACTTCCCCAGAGACAGATGAACTTGTGGATACCATTTTCATGTCTCTGCGCCCAGTATGAAGGAATTTAGGAGGTAGTTTCGCGGGCCAATGCTAACTCGCGTCAACTAAATGACTGGAAGTCTACAGGAACAGCTAGCTGTGCTAACGCTAGTTAGCAACTTCCTTCAAACTGCACCCAGAGACATAAAAATGGTATCCACAAGTTAATCTGACTCTTCATTGCCAAAATCCAGAACTATTCCTTTAAGTTGGTTCATGCTTGGCAGAGCTACACATAGGCCATTATCAGTGGCAGTCGGTGCCATTCAAGATGAGGGAGGACGATTTACTTTTTCTCATGAGCATGGCCTTATTTCTATTACAACATATTGGATGACTGTCATTCATATTCCATTCACCCAGTTCAATGTAACAGCGATAGGTTTAGGCTACTACATGATACTCAAATTTTCCCTATAACCATCAAGGAGGTTGCTACAACCTAGCCTTTGAATTAAAGTTTACAACATACAGTGGGGAGAACAAGTATTTGATACACTGCCGATTTTGCAGGTTTTCCTACTTACAACGCATTTAGAGGTCTGTAATTTTTATCATAGGTACACTTCAACGGTGAGAGACGGAATCTAAAACAAAAATCCAGAAAATCACATTTATGATTTTTAAGTAATTAATTTGCATTTTATTGCATGACATAAGTATTTGATCACCTACCAACCAGTAAGAATTCCGGCTCTCACAGACCTGTTAGTTTTTCTTTAAGAAGCCCTCCTGTTCTCCACTCATTACCTGTATTAACTGCACCTGTTTGAACTTGTTACCTGTATAAAAGACACCTGTCCACACACTCAATCAGACTCCAACCTCTCCACAATGGCCAAGACCAGAGAGCTGTGTAAGGGCATCAGGGATAAAATTGTAGACCTGCACAAGGCTGGGATGGGCTACAGGACAATAGGCAAGCAGCTTGCTGAGAAGGCAACAACTGTTGGCGAATTATTAGAAAATGGAAGAAGTTCAAGATGACGGTCAATCAACCTCGGTCTGGGGCTCCATGCAAGATCTCACCTCGTGTGGCATCAATGATCATGAGGAAGGTGAGGGATCAGCCCAGAACTACACGGCAGGACCTGGTCAATGACCTGAAGAGAGCTGGGACCACAGTCTCAAAGAAAAACATTAGTAACACACTACACCGTCATGGATTAAAATCCTGCAGCGCACACAAGGTCCCCCTGCTAAAGCCAGCGCATGTCCAGGCCCGTCTGAAGTTTGCCAATGACCATCTGGATGATCCAGAGGAGGAATGGGAGAAGGTCATGTGGTCTGATGAGACAAAAATAGAGCTTTTTGGTCTAAACTCCACTCGCCGTGTTTGGAGGAAGAAGAAGGATGAGTACAACCCCAAGAACACCATCCCAACCGTGAAGCATGGAGGTGGAAACATCATTCTTTGGGGATGCTTTTCTGAAAAGGGGACAGGACGACTGCACCGTATTGAGGGGAGGATGGATGGGGCCATGTATCGCGAGATCTTGGCCAACAACCTCCTTCCCTCAGTAAGAGCATTGAAGATGGGTCGTGGCTGGGTCTTCCAGCATGACAACGACCCGAAACACACAGCCAGGGCAACTAAGGAGTGGCTCCGTAAGAAGCATCTCAAGGTCCTGGAGTGGCCTAGCCAGTCTCCAGACCTGAACCCAATAGAAAATATTTGGAGGGAGCTGAAAGTCCGTATTGCCCAGCGACAGCCCCGAAACCTGAAGGATCTGGAGAAGGTCTGTATGGAGGAGTGGGCCAAAATCCCTGCTTCAGTGTGTGTAAACCTGGTCAAGACCTACAGGAAACGTATGATCTCTGTAATTGCAAACAAAGATTTCTGTACCAAATATGAAGTACTGCTTTTCTGATGTATCAAATACTTATGTCATGCAATAAAATGCAAATTAATTACTTAAAAATCATACAATGTGATTTTCTGGATTTTTGTTTTAGATTCCGTCTCTCACAGTTGAAGTGTACCTATGATAAAAATTACAGACCTCTACATGCTTTGTAAGTAGGAAAACCTGCAAAATCGGCAGTGTATCAAATACTTGTTCTCCCCACTGTAGGTGCACAGGTATGTTTATCCCCGTTCCGTTCGCTTCTGTTTAAGAAACGTTTTACAACAGAATCTGCGGAATGAATACACCCCCTGATCACACGTAACACAGTTCACTTTCATAGCAGCCACGTTGTATTCCTTCTCACAACTATGCACTCTCCTCCTCTCACCTTTTCCCTTCGCTTATGGACTTCAATGCACAACGCATCAGCTGTATGTGACCAGGCGAAAAAACCTTTCCAAGACAAACCATATCATAACCGCTGCACACAGCCTACATCGTTGTCTCCATATTAGCTAAAGTAATGTCATAGTCAACATAGCTAATAGAACTAACGCATTAGTAAACCCGCTACAGTCATGCAGTAACGTTACAGTGTAGCAGTTCATTAAGCAGTTTAGCAGTTACACCGACGGGCCCTGATGGCAAAAAAATAGTAAAACCAAACGTTTACCTTGACTTGTAAGAGTTCCAGTGTTGTGTTGGATAGTCATAGCTAGCTAGCTAACTAACATAGCATCCCTCTGTTTGAGCCAGGTGTTTGAGTAGGCTAAACTAGCTAGTTAGCTGCATTTACTAGCTAAGTAGTCAATTAATTTGTTCAACTGTTCAACTATTGTCTTTCTCTCTCTTTGAGTCAACTACTCACCACATGTTATGCACTGCAGTGCTAGATAGCTGTAGCTTATGCTTTCAGTACTAGATAAATTATCTGATCCTTTGATTGAGTGGACAACATGTCAGTTCATGCTGCAAGAGCTCTGATAGGTTGGAGGACGTCCTCCGGACGTTGTCATAATTACTGTGTAAGTCTATGGAAGCGTGTGAGAAACATTAGCCTCCTAGGTTTTGTATTGAAGTCAATGTACCCAGAGAAGGATGGAAGCTAGCTGTCCTCCGGCTACACCATGGTGCTACCCTACAGAGTGCTATTGAGGCTACTGTAGAGCTTAATTGCCAAACAGTGTGTTTTAATGAATTATTTGGTGACATGTGAATATATTTAGTATAGTTTTATCTAAAAAGGATAACTTTCTAAATGTTTTACTTTTTTTTTTAATGAAATTCACTGAGGAGGATGGTCCTCCCCTTCCTCCTCTGGCCTATATTACAAATACATACCAAGTTGATCTTTCACAGCTTTCCCTTTCTCCACCTCTTCCTCCACTTTCTCTTTAGAGAACGTCATCACAGCTCCCACATCGTCAGCTTCATTCTCCATCTCCTCCTCTTCACTCTCTCCATCCTCATCACCACTTTCTTCATCATCATCACTTTCTTCATCATCATCTTCTTCGCTCTCTCCAAGGTCATCCATTCCCTCTATTAGCTCATGGGAGTCTGTCTCTGAGGGAAGTGTGATGTCAGTCTCCTTCAGCTTAGACACCAAGCTTTTCATTTTAGCGATGTCACTCTCAATCTCTTCAGCATCATCATCATCATCATCATCTCCATCTTCAGCCTCTCCATCCTCCAGATCAGAATCATCATCTCCATCTTCAGCCTCTCCATCCTCCAGATCAGCATCATCATCTTCTTCTTCCTCTTCGTTTTCATCATCATCGTCATCATCCTCTCCTAAAAAGTCACATTAAAATGGAATGATAAAACCAGGATGTTCATTAATAACCATACAGCGAAATAAAATTGCAATTCTAACTAATGTAGGCAGATAAGGCTGTAGATGGCCTTCCACTCAGCACCTGAACAGTAGTGATGCCGTGTACACAACAGCTTAATGCTGTAATCAGTTGTCTTCTAGGTATAAATTGATTGCTACCTTAATCAAAGCATTTGTTTGGATAAACAGGGATTCACTTGATTAAAAACAAAGCAATTTCTCAATTGAATAACCAAAAAACCAGACCACTAGTAGATGTAGGCCTAAGCTATTTTATGGTACACATGCTTATTGTAATAAAACGTCTACACATGATATGACGATGCACAGCTGAGCATAGAATATAACTTTACTTGATTCAATTGTAAATAAGGAACCTACATCAATCCATTAAAGCTATGGTATCCTGTTCCCCAGCAATTTGCCTTGTGGTACTAATCTAGGAGACATTACAACATTATAAGAGATTACAGTGTGGCATGAGGCACATTTATTTATATACTGAACAAAAATATAAACGCAACATGTAAAGTGTTGGTCCCATGTTTCATGAGCTGAAATAAAATATCCCAGAAATGTTCAATGTGCACAAAAAGCTTATTTCTCTCAAATGTTGTGCACAAATTTGTTCACATCCCTGTTAGTGAGGATTTCTCCTTTGACAAGATAATCCATCCACCTAACAGGTGTGGCATATCAATAAGATGATTAAACAGCATGATCATTACACAGGTGCACATTGTGCTGGGGACAATAAAAGGCCAGTCTAAAATGTGCCGGTTTTTTCACACAACACAATGCCACAGATGTCTCAAGTTTTGAGGGAGCGTGCAATTGGCATGCTGACTGCAGGAATGTCCACCAGAACTGTTGCCAGAGAATTTAATGTTAATTTCTCTACCATAAGCTGCAACCAATGTCGTTTTAGAGAATTTGGCAGTATGTCTAACCGGCCTCACAACCGCAGACCACATGTAACCACGTCAGCCCAGGACCTCCACATCCGGCTTCTTCATCTGCGGGATCGTCTGAGACCAGCCACCCGGACAGCTGATAAAACTGGGGGGTATATCTGTCTGTAATAAAGCCCTTTTGTGGGCAAAAATGCATTCTGATTGGGTGGGCCTGGCTCCCCAGTGGGTGGCCTATGCCCTCCCAGGCCCACCCATGACTGCACACCTGCCCAGTCATGTGAAATCCATAGATTACAGCCTATTGAATTTATTTCAATTGACTGATTTCCTTATATGAACTGTAAAATCGTTAATTGTTGCATGTTGAGTTTATATTTTTGTTCAGTATAGTTCATATTGAACTGAATGATGGTCAGTTACATATTGTAAAAGTGCCCCTTGCAGAACCACAAGAGGGCAGAATTCTACAAATGAGAATTTTCAAATGCAGTGCCTTGAAATAAATACACCCTACCTTCCTCCCATCCTAAAATGTAGTCATGTATCTGATTGAATACGTAAAATGAATGTTACTACCCTATTGCTTTTACCAATCCAACTTTGTCAGATTGACAATTGGGCTAATTCCATGGATAGAAGGAAAAAGGGTGCATTTACATTTTACATTTTAGTCATTTAGCAGACACTCTTATCCAGAGTGACTTACAGTTAGTGAATACATATATTTGTTTTTTCATACTGGGCATTTCAAGTAGTTGAAAGCAAACTACAGCTCTCATCCAACTTTCTTGACAGGTTACTTATTTATTTTCCCCCATGGTCAGTTGCATTGATTATCCTACATATATGTTTAACATTATTATAAATTACACATTCATGTTCCAACTCACCAGACCCTTCGATCTCCTTCAGCAGGTCTTTACGGGAGGTTGCCTTGCCCAGGTACCGTTTGTCAGTCTCTTCTAGCAGAGTGATAGCTTTCTTCCGGAGCCCACTCAAGGCAACCACAGCTTCATCATCACCCTCATCAAACGCCTCTACCACCTTGGCTTTCGTCTCTGGAAGCAATCAAAACAGTCAGATTGAATGACCAAGAGACAACGAGTGTTCATAGTCATTCTGATCAATAAACGAAGTGGCTGGCAACTTATCAGGGCCAGAATGTTATAGATCGGTTAAATCAGATGACTTGTCTTTAAGAGAAAGTCAAGTTGAATAACTATGACAGGATAAAGCACTTCTCCGTAAGGTCATGTTAATGTTGATTTGTATATTGAACAGCAGCCAGAGTGAGAATACTAACCACAGCATCAAGCATAATTACTAGCAACGAATATGAGGTTTAGATAGAGCGACAAGAATATTTGCTAGCAAGTAACAGCCAACGTCTCGTGAAAAGGGTCAACATAATTAGCTAGCAGCACCAGTAGTTGCTAGCAGGATCAGCTGTTAGAATGGTGCGGTGCAGTGCCAGTGGCTCCCGTCCTACATTCATTGGGCTGTTTGAAACATCAACAAACACATGGCTACGTGGACGGTTGCCAGTACTGTTGCTTACACGGTGGTCATGTTGGGCATCAGAACAGGTTATGGAGATGTCTTTGGTGAATTGGTGCTTTCAGTGTGCTACCTTGCTTGCTAACGTTAACTGTCTAGCTTTGCATGCAGTTGCCACGCGCCTACCTGGCGTGTGTGTAAAGACTTGATACATAAAAACGGAAACATTGTCTTCAAATGGAAAGCAAAATGTACCTGTTAAACATGACAAACAGTGTAATATACCTTCATCATGATCATCCTCTGGATCTGTGAACTTGGGCAAAGGATTTAATAAATCCTCGAGCTGTTGTGATATGTGGCCAGCCATCGTACCATGTACTCGCTCACAACTCACACATGTTACGCTTACGTCATCAAGACGCGACTCACAGATAGACATATAATAATAGAACTGCTACAGCGCAACTTCAAGCAAGTAGAGGTTGTTTTTTAGCCTATGTAATTTGGATTACTGAAATTGTTAAGATAATGCTATGTGGATGACTACTATTCCACTTAATTGTAGTTAAGCATGCTACACCGTAAACCCTGTAGGTAAAGTATATAATCTACTAAATGGCTCAGTTGGTAGAGCATGGCGCTTGCAACGGCAGGGTTGTGGGTTCGTTTCCCACGGGGGGCTAGTATGAAAAATGTATGCACTGGATAAGAGCGTCTGCTAAAATGTAAATAAAGAATCGACTTTTCTATATGTTGTAGTAGGCCTACTTCTACGATTACAGTGTGACTGCCAATATTTGCTGCCAAATCATACAACCTAATCATGTTTAAATAATGTAAATATTGCATTTGGTGCATTTGAGAAACAAACAAAAAATATATCAAATTTTCTTAATTTATAGTAGCCTACAACTTCCCTAATGCAAGGCATCTCTCCAAACCCAGATGCCGCTTATTGAGGCCTGTATCTTCTCAGACAACCTGATGTCAACTTACCAGGTGATGGAGAGCTGAGCAGCAGTGGTGATGTCGATGTGGCCCTCTGTGTACTGTAGTCTAATCAGTGAGTGGATTCTGTCCCACTGGGCAATCACTGGTTGATCAATGTTGTTTCCAATATATAAATTGGATTGACGTCTGTGCCCAGTGGGCTAGGCGACTGGGCTTTTTATTTATGAAAAAGTAGTGTTTTTCATTTCAAGAAAGAAAATATATTGTTGCAGCCACATTTTTGCCTTTGTTGGACTATGGTGATATTCTGTACATGAAAGCCCCGGGGTCTTACCTGCACACACTAGACACACTTTGCCATGTGTAACCAACACATTGGGCATGTTCGACATTGCAGCCGACAGTGCAGGCGGCTGCCGACTGACTGATCTACAAATCACCTTGCATCATAAATAACTACTCATTATTATTTGTAGATCAGTCAGTCAATCACAATTTACCCATGATACGTTACGGTTTTGATGCTCTCGAACACGGCCAATACCTCTTACACATCACTGTACCTTATATCAGTTAGCAGGATGGCCATCCTTAAAGGGGAAGTGCAGTCTAAAACGTGATTTTCCTGTTTTTTAAATGATATTTCCACACTATGAGGTCGAAATAACCCTCTGAAATTGTGAAAATTATGATAATGCCGTTTTTTGGTCCACATCATGACGTCACAGTGTTTTCTGTTTATAATGCAGCAATGACTGTTCATCTGGGTAAGAGGGTGGGCTCTAGACCATCCTATCAGCCAATCAGGGCTGTGTATGTAAATATCTTTACATTTGTTTCCAAATGCCCACACAATCAGACTGAGCATTTCAAGGGCCAAAGGTGGCTCAGGGAAATAAATGATAAAACAATATATTTTGGAGTTATTTTCATTACATAAACCCACACAGTGATTTATTAGACATACAGTGATGATTAAAAAAACTAAATGACAGCACTTTAAGCCTTTTACCCACCCTACCAAATCATTTACATTACCGTCTGAGATCACAGAACTGTATTTTATATAATGTTCACAACACAAGAACTGAGTTTGGTAAAAGTGCCTTTAGCTTTGCTGCCCCATCATCCTGGAAGCCTTTGCAAAAAGACTTACAACTAGATCATTTTATTCTGATTGATGATTGGAGGGCTGCTGACCACAGATTGCACGTTTTTAAACATGCTCTTTTAAGTTATTTTATGCACTTCACACTGTTTTAACGTACAGTCATTGTAATGTTTTATGTTGTGTCTCATGTGTAACTATATGCTGCTTTCTTGGCCAGGGCTCACTTGAAAAAGAGATGTAAATCTTAATGTGACTTTTCTGGTTAAATAAAGGATAAATAAAAAATAAAAAGCTTGCACTTTTTTCAACATGTTTTATTATACAGTGAATGGTCTAATATGCACTGTAGGTCACAGAAGCTTAGGTTTATCAGAACAATAAAATACATCATATGAGAGTTGATATTTCAAGAATATAGCAGCTGCTGGTGGCATATTTGACCATCAATGTTTAATCATTGGGACTTTTATGACACAAAATAAAGCATTTTGTACAATGGTTGTTCAATTCAGTGATCAGCATGAAGTCGTTCAACATTAGACATCCTCATGAAAGAATGAACTACAATGTAACACATTCGGTAAAAAAAATGCTACTACATTTCTTGTAGTATGATCAGCAATTGATGATGCAAAGCACTAACAGTATTGTGCTTTTATCCTTATTTGGCAACTGTCTATTTGTGTTTTTACATTTTCTTCAAAGTAAACACAATAATACAAACTAGCACAGTGAGGAACCACGACCATAATATAAATAGAATAAATACAAAAGTTTGGTTTGTTGCTTGAAAGATGTTCTCCATCTGAATTGAGAGGTTTCAAACAATGCTGATATTCAAACCCCTGAAGTACTGTAAATATATACGTAAACAGTTGACTGTTCTATGTCCACCTCAAACCATTGTCCATCGATTTTGTGAAGGTTGACTTCATCTTAAAATACAAGTTATTTTCTATTAAATAAAGGGTTATACAACTTTTTTAAGTTTTCCTTTTGAAGGCAAACTGTCTAGGATTTGGCAAAACACAGAAATATACAGAGAAACAAAAAATGTATTGATAAATAAGCACAATTACCAAAGCCATCATAAAAGCTTTCGGTCAAAAATAATTTTGATCTGATATGGAGACCCTCTAAAAAAAAAAGGTCTGCTGAACGCTCATACAGTATTGACCATTATATGACTGCATTGGAGTCTAGACTGTTACTGTGTGTATCTTTTTTTAAATAAAACTGCAACATCAACACAGCAGTACAGTAAGTTGGAGACAGGTAATAAATGAAATGCATATCAATTAAATGAATTAATGAATAAATAAATAAATAAATACATTAAATTAAACAAGGATACTCGCTCAGGACTTCATTTGCCTCCTAAGTCAATAGTTAGCCTTGGCTTCATAATGTCCTGTGGGCTACCAGACAGTGCCTTCGCTCATCTCTGAGGAGGGGTGTGACAGTTGGTTGCTGTATCCGCTGCCGTTGAGGGACAGTGATGTGAAGGGTGTGCTGGGGCCACACATCTCACTGGAGATGCTGTGCATTGACCCAGGTCCGTTGGGCTCTGGGCTAGGCGAGTCCGCTGGATGGTGAGATATGATGTCAGTGAAGCACTGCACCTCACTGGATGGGTGATGCCCAGCTAGGTGATGGTCCATGCCCCCTAAAGGGGTACCAGCGGGGCCAGAGGAGAAGCCTAGGTCCCCTGGGGTCTGGGCCTGTGATGATGGGGGGCCTTGGGTGTAGTACTCAAAATTTCCTCCAGGCCCATAGTATTCACTCTGATAATCTGCAAACATATACACCAGAATTATTATGGGAAATGCTTATGTGGTGAAAATAAAACTATAACAAAATGTATTATACCGACACAATGCCACGATAATGTCATTTGAAGGACAAAAAAAGTAAAACTAATACATTTCCAGTAGTATAGAGTTAATTTGCCATAATAGTGATTTGGAGGATGACAGTCTTATAACTTAAAACAATGAGAACTATTGCCTATTATCGAAAAAAAACGTATCTTATTTTTAAATGTAGCCTAATTCACACAGTATGCCTAAACCTATTGTCAAAAAATCGATTTAAAATGCATCAAAACACCTCTGAATAATGAATCCTATTAGGAATAAAAAATAATGTAAAGGATTAACATACAGGCCTATGAGTGGCTCTCATAGTCAAAATGCATTTCTGATCATCTTTAAACACAAAGTTATTATTTGGGTGGACCATGGTCAATATACAAGACCTTACCACCATAGTATGAGAAATGACCGTTGGGGATCAGCTCCCCGGGTTCGAGTCGGTCCACCAGAGTTCTCATTCTCCTTGGACCGCGGAAAAACGCGTGCCTTCTTGCACCCAGTACGCTTAGCTGCTTCATGCGCCGCTCTTTAGACCGACGGTTTTGGAACCATACCTGCACACCACAAATAACATGGAAAGAGCTGATTAAAATTAAGTTTGCAATGCCAGCCAAATATTTATTTTGTGCATCAAAAATGTGTGCAGCTTGTCTGATGACATGTTGTGAGATGGCCATCCTTAAAGGGGAAGTGCAGTCTAAAATCCTCAGTTTATCTATCGTCTGTTTATTGAATACCAGGGACTTAACAACTCAAATTACAGGCTACAGGTGAATTGATAGGATATACTTACAGATGTGTTGTCAACCAATGGCCTACATGTTTTTCAGTCACAATTGCCACAACATATAATAGTCTAACAATGATAGCATAATGATACCTAATGAATAGGCTAATTTAAAAATCAGAAAACAGAGGCCTTTGCATTGATATGCATATAGATAGAGGTCATACAGCATTAAGGATGTCAGGAGAATTTGTGCATCTGCACCACTTTCGTGGTAACCAGTCTGCATATCTTGCCATCTGCCATTATTGACCAAGGTGCCATTGTTGAAAATACTTTCTCACAGAAGCATATATGAATAATATGAATACAGAAAATAGACATATTTATGATTTTACATGTGATATAAGCTAAAGGGAAATAGACTCTTACCTGGATTACTCTCATGTTGAGCCCTGTCTCCTGCGCCAGCTGTTCTCGGATGTGTCGAGTGGGTTTTGGCGTAGCCGCGAAAGCAGCTTTGAGGACCTCCAGTTGCTTGGCTTTGATGGTGGTTCGCGGCCCACGTCGTTTCCCCCCTACGTTCTGCTCGTCGTTTTCATTGCTGCCCACCTCTTTATCGGATAAATGTCCGATTTCCGAATCTTTACCATCATCCTGTGGGTCTTGGGAATCTGGAGATAGACTTGGGTCACTGCAAGTCGTGACTGTGAGATGAAAGAAATACGAAATGAAATGATTTGAAATGTATTCGTATGTCTTTATACTCTTTAACAAATAGGCAAAAATAAACGACAAGAATAGAATATAATTATTAGGATATTATTATTAATATTGTTATTGTTAGTATGAGGCATTAGACATATTAGCCAACTACTTTTAGCCATATTATTATTGGTGGTGATGATAACATTAATGAAGAAAACATGATCATCCCTATAGGTCTAAAAATATTTTATATTTTTAATTGTCATCAACATCATTGTTTCGATTGTTACTGTTATTAGGCCTATCAGGATGCTGTTATCATAATTATTTTCGCAATAAAAAAATGGTTTTATAAATGGAATATAAAGCAATAAGAAAAATGAGAAAATAATGATTACAAGAGGCTATACAAATATATAGAAATATAAACACGGGTTCGCGGTTCCAAACTGTGATTTGGTTCAAGTCATGTTATGTTCCATACCTGAGAGGAGGGTTGTGTCCTTTCCGTTGCTGTTGCTTAGGTAGTCCTCTTTACAAACAAACTTAAATTCATCTAGAATGTACATTTCCTCTCCGGTGGATAGCTGTTTGTTACACATCATACACGTGAAACAGTTCAGGTGAAAAACTTTGCTCTTTGCCCTTCGAACCAAATCGTTGGGCGAGATCCCTTGGGCGCAACCTCCACACTTTGTGCCAAATCTCCTATAAGAAAGAAAGCAAAAAAGAAATACCATCAGCGACTAAACATTGCAGGGCAGACAGTGTAGCAGTAAATAGCCACAGAAAATATTCACATCAGATTACCAATAAAATGGCAACATTATTGGCAACATTATAGATGTTTACACAAAGGGCATGCGTTTTTCATGACGCAAAATACCTGTATTTTCAGTATTTTGATGCTACATATCTTCTTGTTGAGATTCCAAATCAATATAATGACAAATCAATTTCTTATGCTTTTATTTTAAACGTTGATCTGGAAATTACAGGCTACACTGATGTTGGGCCTGCATGCAAGGTAACGAAAGCCAGCCAATATATTCATTTTGCGTGGGCCTATTTCACACAGATAACCAGTTATTCAACCACCGTAAATATAAGATAATAATTTAGTTTTTAGGCTAAATAAATTGTTATAAATAAATATATGTATCTTATATTTAGGCCTACGTGTTGTAGAACTATGATTTCCTAAAACTATTATTCAAGAAAGGCTACACCGTTTATTATTAGGCTATTGAATGGAGATAATTCAAACATTCATAAAATAAACTGCCCATTATTGAAATACATCCTATTTAATGCTTGAAAAGAACAAAGCCACAGTTAACTGTTCAATTTGGCAATGTAGCCTATTTATGTAAATAAATGTGTATTCAAATAGTTAACAAACGCGTGTGGACTGGAGGTCTGTGATTGCAGTGTTTTTTTCCCAAGCTGATTTATTATTCAAATCCACTTATCACATTTTCACTTGAGTCTCAGCAAACAAACGGGTGTGCGCCGACTGATTGAACTGAGGCGGGATACACTTCCGTCAAGAATCCTGGCATAATTCTCATCCCCGTTTGTCTGGCAGCCTTTCCTTGTAAACAAAGGACGATTTCCTTGAATCCGTCACAGAACATGGTGATATATGCTTATAATGTATCAGCTTTTGGTGGATCACCACTCATAATCTGGGCATCCTGTCTCTGGTTTGTTTAATTTATGTCGCTCATGAGGATAGATTAAACTATCTCTAAATTGACACTAGGCATATACCCATGTAGCAAAAAACATAATCTTGCAATATAATTTTGTAATTATAAAACGTGTATTTTACATCATCTGTTGTTCATTTGCATAGTTCTGCTTAATTGGTACTCATTCGAAGCAAAAGGTCTTCTGCACAATATTGAAAGCCATGTGCCCAGGTGTGCTTACCTAAAAAAGTCGTTTTTGCAGTACAGTCTCCCTTCCCGTGAAAAACATTTTTCTGTCAAATTGCATTTACAGTCACAGCACTGTACGCACTTGATGTGCCATGGTCTGTCCAGAACATTGAGTAGAAACCTGTCCAGAATAGGTCTTTCGCAGCCGGCACAGTGAACCATGTTTGGATAATTCCAGCTATTCCCAGGTTGAACGTCTTCCCTGTTTGTCCCAAATCAAAGCGATGTGACTCCTTGGTTGCTTTGTTGATTTGGAGAATGACCTACTCTAATCCACTCCTTCAACAATCCAGAGGATGCAGCTCATCCAGACGAATCTCTTAACAATGAGTTAGCATCATCATATCCCTTGAGCTAAAATATTATTGCATTCCTCTCGCATGCACAGAACAACCATAGGCTATACAAAATAGTATCAATAAAAACAAAAACGAACAAAAAACTTAACAAAGTGAATACATTTCACAAGCAAGAATGCAAACTTGAGAGCAGCAAGGCCTCCCCTTGTCCATCAAGATGAGCCGAGAGGAGCGACAGTAGGCTAATATGATTCAGTGAATCTGAACAGGCATCATGCCACTACAATTACGCGCGAATACATAACTGCTACACAGCCGAATGATTACTGCCAAAGCAGAAAGTTACAACACATATGATCAAATCTGTTCAATTTCTTGTAAATTCTGTCATATTCCTTCGATTCTTCGAGTATGATGCACTCTTTAGTCCAAGCTTCAGTAATATGCGTGCCTCTGAAAGCGCAAGAACTAGCCTTTATCTGAGCCTCCTGACGTCATGTTGAATCAACACCTATCAGCAGCTTGCATTTGGAGTGGCAATTACTATGCCCTCTATACTCTGCCGTACGGACCCACTTAATAGGGAACAAGGAAGGACTATTGCCCCATATCTTTGAAACGGTCGTATTATTTTAGAAAAGCGTCAATTCCCCCTCGATAAAGCAGGCATATAGCATATACCAGGTCGAAGCGCAGATTGGGTCTCCTGATAGGATACATTTAATAAGGTACAGTAGTATTTAATGAAAACAACAGCTTTTCTTGTAGCTTAAAGTCATTTTGGCAGAGGAAATTAAGTTCGTTTTCGTCTAACATTATTTCTCTGAAATTGTAAATATCACTTATTATGGATTGGCCATCATTTTATCATTTGTTTTTAGGTCTTTGGAGAGGAGATAAAGTGAACGCGGACGCACTAAAGTTCACAGATCGATTAATCAAACGGATATGTATCTCTGACAGAGATATTTAGATTGTTTAGTTAGAAACATAAAAATAAACACCCAAAATATGTGACAGACTTCTCACTTGTCTTTGAAAGGAAACCAACCCACCTCAAATGTGGCAAAGGGACAAGGCAAAACGACAGAGGTAGACTCTTTTCAATTATAGTGTGTTATGAACTTTGTGTTGTCAGACTTGGATGATAATTACATTTTATCATTACTAAAGTGGGCTATTAAACCCCACATCAAGAATTAGTTTGGATGTCTTTGACAGACACTAAAAACTCACAAAAAGTTACTTTTAATGAATTGTCTTCATTTATGTTTCACTTTATGGCTCTTAAATTCAAACAAGACAATATGTCTGTCTATCTGGATGTTTTTCACAGAATAAATCAATTTCAACCTCCAGAAATGTTCATGGTCGTTGATGACTGTGTTTTGATGTCTTCAAAATGTAGAGTAGCCTACATTTTGGCTAACTAAAGAGTTGAAGTAACATAATTGTTATAACCTTGCTATCAACGACTATAACAATTTGTTAATTATTTGCCATTATTTATTCACTATTTAGGTCTGTTCTGTATACATTTTATTAGCCTGCATTGTTTTCCAAAATGTCTCTTTATAATAATGCATTAAAGCAACATAGCGAAAGAGTAGCCTATAGGCCTGCCGCCTGAGAATAAAACTGTGGCGCCGTGACAGAAATGACAAATCATCATGACTTCATCCTCTGCAGATGAGGGGAGGGAAGGGCTCTGGGAAGTCTGAACACGAGCTTTATAGATTAATGTTTCCATGCGCTTATTCTACATTTCTGGTGAAAGGGAAGGATCAATAATGATTATAATATAATGTCTAGCGATAGGCGCTCCCTGAAAGATATTATCGCGCAGTGGGCAATGCACTTGGGACAGTCTGCGGGGCTGGGAACCGGGAGATAGCGGATTTTCATGCCCAGACTCCCACCGGCCACAGCCCTGCGCGCTCCTGATATCTGTTGCCCAGGGAAATGTATAAACAATCAACCATGTGGACGACTGAAATTGTTGTGATATCGTCCCATTCAGACTGAAATATAAATCCAGGTCTATTCTTGTAGGCCTAGCTACTCATATTTGTTAAAACATTTTTGTATAGGCTACTGTACGTGAGCAGCCTTTATACCTTTGTAGGCTATGGTAGGCTATAATAATGGATTCACTTGATCAAATAGCCTACAACATTTAGTGTAGTCTGCGCTAAATGGTATGCAGTTTATCATAAGATTGAAAAAGCAGGTATTAAAACAAGCTGTAAGTAATAATCTGTTGCTTGAAAATATTAATTAAATCCGTTAGGAAAATATATATATTTATATTTGCATTGCTGCTACTGAGTCTTCAGAAAAAAATAGTGGCACAAGAGAACTTGATTGAGTGGAGTAGATTATGGGGGGCTCGCGCATGAGAATCACCACCTATTCCATTCGTCTTCATAGCCTTTTGTGTGCGCAAGTACAGACCTTGTTGAAGATAGAGCCACCACCAGTGGACGGGCTTAATTTTATAGCCCATAGATCAGGAGAGAGGCGACGCTTTATTTTCGCCAGGAGAGAGATAGTTCACCACCGCCTTGCGGTTTTATGTTGGGGATATGTCAAGCAGATGAAAATAATGGCTAATGCATAAGCAAAGCTCGGTGGTCCCTGCACTGCGCGCATTGAGATAGGGTCTGGTGAGGATTTAGGGTCGGTGCGAGGCCCATGCATTTTGAACTCAAGGATGTAAATTGATAGTGTAATTCACACACACGCATTCACGCACACACGCACGCGCTCGCGCACACGCCATAAGTAAAAAAAAAAAAACGAAGATATAAATAGAATAGGGCTAATTCTGAATACACAACAGAGCTTAGACATTCAGCAGTCAATATTCAATAGTCTAACATTTTTTAATAGGCATTTCCAATATTATTTTCATGCTGAAATGATTTCTGGGACTCTGGAAAACAATTATTCTTGCAGTCTCAGGTTAACTCAGCACTAATAATAAAATGTATTTTTTCTTATTTTTGGACCAATCAATTCCACACACACAGGGTCTATTCAAATGACTGTGGCTGTAGCTGATGGATGGCTGAGTGCTGAAGTCTACCTTCTGTATCCTATACCCAGAGGCTGTGAGAACCTGCAAATCACCCAAACCAAAGTACACTGGGGCCCCATCATTTCAAACACATTGCTGTTCCCCTGGTTACGTTATATTTTAATAGATGCATGTGAGATGCAGGCAGAGAATAGGCCTGTGCACTTGAGAGAAATGAGCAGAGGGTGATGGGAAAGACCTGGCTGTCAGACCAGCTTCAAGTACCAAAACACAATATGTAACGCATGCAGTTCTTCTATCAAATGCGATATTATTCATAAACATATGAAGATCTTGTTCCCACAAATGATCTGTTGATGAACACCTACCATCAAAAATAACGGGCTGAATTTCAACTTTATACTAAGATTACAATTTAGGCTACTAAGATGTTCAATTCCAGAATTCACCCCTCTCCACCGAACTGAAAGACGCCCAATAATCCTACCCTACCCCCACCCCCTCTCTTACAACGCCCTTCATCCCCCCTAGAATCCTAATGTTACCCTCCTTTGACCCTGTATAATCTCTCTGCATCACAGTGGGTTACTGTTACTAGTAATACTCAGACGCTTCCCCACACTGAGCGAAGCCTTCTATCCTGACTTATACCACTCTGATCATTCTATTTCACTAGGGGATTTCTCTACTATATCCAGTGGAGTTACTGAGAATTCCTCCTCACCTCTGTTCTCACCTTTCACCTCTGTTCTCTGTCACACTACTGTCTATCCCTGAGAATGTTACTGTAATGACCAATGCTGGTGGGAGGGAGTTTTTGATATAGTATGAGCTGGTCTTGTAAAGGACATATTTGCTAGCCACCACGTGGTTCTGTGTACTAAATATTTTCAATACTACCTACCTAATTACAATAAATATGCAATTTTCAAATGGCCTTTCCATTAATAATCCAAAAATCCATTATCCATTCTGCTGAGGTTCCTGTAGCATCGTCTAACTCCATACAAAGAACCCACAAGGCAGGATACACTGTAAACCTATCAGCAATCCTGATTGACTCTAACATTTCAAATGCAACGTGTACCAATATGAGTGCCCTCTTGATGAAAGAAATCTGTTGCAACAAGTCAATGGAAAGTTTGCGGAGTGAAAATTATTTGCTTGGTGGTATTGAATGCTGCTGTGCTGTGGGGCTGGGAGTCTCCCGCTGGGTTTGTGTTCATCCCTCTGTGGGAGAGAGTGAGGTGTTGATTGGGAGCCTGGCCCAGTGTACTGGCCCCCAGCACCACTCCAACACACAAGAGGTCTGAACAGCTCTGGAATCAGGCAGGGTGCACACTGTTTGTTTTGGAGTCAGAAAGCATCTCATTAGCGCGTGTTAATTGCAGCTAATTGGCTCTAATGAGATGAACAGACAACCCGGTGGGATCATTCATACAAATAATTTGTAGAAAACAAAATTAATTACTAGATGCTAATTAAAGCCAATTAACACTGATTAAGCAATGCTGGAATGGGGAAGTGATAGATACAAATTTTAAATAAAAAAAAGCTGAAAATAAACAGCATAAAATAACTGCAACATATTGACAAGTCTAGGGCTCCCTAACCCTCTGAAATAAGTTGATCTTCACCTGCATGAACAGCACTTCACCAGCTGTTGTTGATCTAACAAGCAATGTGATAACTAATGTTGCTCTCTCTCTCAGCTGATTAATCAGAGACTCTCCTATATTGTCAATCACACTTCCCCAGAGCTGGATCCACTAATCAACCACTACTCTGTTCTGAAATACAAAACAGCTTCACTGTAACACTGC